AAAAGAAAACCACTCATGATCGATTTAAAAAAGAATCTTAGATTAGAAAGAATTTAAGATGTTTCAAATTTAGAACAAATTTGTTCCAAAGATGTGCTTTACAAAAAAAAAACTTTTTTTTATCTTTTTAAAAAAAAATTTAAAAAAAGTTTTTTTAAAAACTGACAATATACAAATGTATTTTTAGAACCTTTTGAAATCCTATTACTACTGGAAACATTTCTATTTTTACAAGGAGGAGATAATTCATTGTGAAGGTTTATCGGTGAAAAGCAGACTTAAGGTGGTTCCCCTAGAAAAAAACTATTTTCTTTTATAGCAATAGCAAATTATTTTTATATCAATTTTATAATACTAGGAATAAATACGAATTTAAAAAAATTTATAACAAAATAGGCATTTTTTAAAGCTGAGTCAGCATTTTTTTACTATTTTATGAGCAAAATGAGAAGAAACTTGGGACACAATAATTTTAAAACAACAAATGTATATAAGATGAAATTTGGTACAATGATAAATTACATATTACGGCCGTGAACATTTTAGAGAACGGACGTGTTTATTATTAAACTTAAAAATGGCTAATAAAAGTATTTCAATTACTCATTTAAAAGAAATTATGGATATTCATGAAAACACAATAATGAAGCTATTTAGCGACAGGATTGATAAACTAGAGAGTAAAATATCAGTTATGCAAGAAGAAAATAAAAATTTAAAAGATGAAGTAAGTGACCTGAAAAAAAGTGTTGAATTTGTCAGTGACAAATATGAAAATTTACTACTGGAAATTAATGTTTCTAAAAAAACAGCAATGTCATCAGTATATCAACTGAACGACACAAAAATAAATATAGAAAATGATAACGTTATTAAAGATAAGTTGGCTGAACTTGAAGATAGGAGTCGCAGAAATAATTTGAGATTTAATGGTATAGAAGAAAAAGAAATTGAAACCTGGCAAGAAACTGAAAGTAAAATAAGAGAAATTTTAAAAACTAAATTGGGTTTAAATGGTAATATCGAAATTGAGAGAGCCCATAGAGTTGGAAAAAAAGTGATGGGTGTTAAAAGAATAAATAGAACTATTGTTGTAAAATTTTTAAGCTATAAAGACAAGAACGCGATTTTGGATAAGTTCGTAAAGGCAAAACTCTGGAATGAAAATTTGTTTATAAATGAAGATTTTAGCGAACGTAGGGGAGACCGGGGCTAGTTGGCAGCAGGGGTAAGTTGACGAATTGCGTTTATCTGCAAAGTCTTTCATCAAAAAGTGCCAATAATTTCAGGAAACCTTCTTAGTTGACCATTTCATCTTTCACTGTAGTATTGTGGGGATTTGCGCATGCGCATAAAAGATATTGTGATTTATGTGTTTTTTCCACATTTTTGTAACTTTTACAACTTCTTTATTTTTTCGATTTTTAAAAGCAATTTCATCAAGTACAAGTAAACTTGATTGGAGTTATATCTTGCATGGTTCAGTAAAATCTGTCCAACCATTATTTTTTATTTATATACGTTTTTCAGGGATCGGTAGGGGAGTTTGTGACCAAATAGCTTTCGGGGTTAGTTGGCAAAATTTTGGCGGGGCAAGTTGGCCGTATATATCAACTAAACCCGGTTGCGATTGGACATAAATTTTAACTTTTTCTATAAATTTTGATTTATTTTTTTAAAAATCGATTAGATAGATCACATATATTACATGCGAAACTATAAAAGAAAAACAAAGAGGGCTATAACTCCTCAAAATGTTATAAAAAATGCTGTTGATGCTGTTTTATTAGAAGGAAAATCTATACGAAAAACAGCCAAAGACTTTAATATCCCTGAAAAAAGTTTGTCCCGATACTGCAAAAAGCAACAACGTCATAGTCAGCAAATATCAGGTTACATAAAATCTAGACAGGTCAGTATATATATATATATATATATATATATATATATATATATATATATATATATATATATATATATATATATATATATATATATATATATATATATATATATACATACATATATATATATATAAACTTAATATGTTTTGTATAGTAATTATTATCTCATATATAAGATTTATATATATATATATATATATATATATATATATATATATATATATATATATATATATATATATATATATATATATATATATATATATATATATATATATATATATATATATATATATATATATATATATATATATATATATATATATATATATATATATATATATATATAAATCTTATATATGAGATAATAATTACTATACAAAACATATTAAGTTTATATATATATATTTATATATAATATTTATATATAGTTTATATATAATATATATTAGTATGTGTTATACACACACACACACACATTGTATTAGTATGTGTTATAACACATACTAATACACAGTTATAAAATATAACTTATATGTTTTTTAAGATCATTGAGAACTCTATTTGTAAATATATATATATATATATATAATATATATATATATATATATATTTACAAATAGAGTTCTCAATGATCTTAAAAAACATATAAGTTATATTTTATAACTGTGTATTAGTATGTGTTATAACACATACTAATACAATGTGTGTGTGTGTGTGTATAACACATACTAATATATATTAGTATGTGTTATGCACACACACACACACATATATATATGTGTGTTATATAACACACACACACACACACACACACACACACACACACACACACACACACACACACACACACACACACACTATATATATATATATATAGTGTTATTTGTTTTAATATTGATATTGTTCATTTAGGTCTTTACTGATTTACAAGAAGGTCTGTTGGAACAATATGTGACTAAAGCTTCTGATATTTATTATGGACTTTCTCCTAAGGAAGTGAGGAAACTAGCTTATCAGTATGGAAAAGCGAATAGCATAAAAATGCCTCATAATTGGAGTGCAAATGAAGCAGCTGGAGAAGACTGGTTCAGTGCTTACCTCAAAAGACACAAAAAACTGTCAATAAGAAAACCTGAGGCAACAAGTCAAGCACGTGTTTCCAGTTTTAATCCAACAAATGTTCAAAAGTTTTACAACAATTTACAAACTATTCTTAATCGTTTAAAGTTGGAAAATGGAGATATTTGGAATATGGATGAAACTGGTATTACCACAGTTCAAACTCCAGATCATATTGTAGCAAGAAAGGGTTTTAAACAAATTGGGCGTGTTACTTCGGCTGAGAGAGGCAATTTAGTAACTGTGGCAGTTGCTGTTTCTGCCAGTGGAAATTCAATTCCTCCATTTTTCATATTTCCTCGTGTGAAATTTAAAAGCTATTTTTTAAATGGTGCTCCTGATGGAAGTGCAGGCGCTGCAAACCCATCTGGTTGGATGACTGAAGTTCAATTTTTGCAGTTTTCCCATCATTTTGTCAAATATGCCAGAAGTACAAAAGAACGACCTGTTTTGTTGCTATTAGACAATCATGACTCTCATCTTTCAGTAGAGGCTTTAGATTACTTTAAAGAAAATGGGGTATCGGTTTGTTCATTTCCTCCTCATTGCAGCCATAAACTTCAACCTCTAGATCGAAGTGTATTTGGACCTTTTAAAAAATACACAAACACAGCTTGCGATGCGTGGATGACAATGCACCCTGGTTCCACAATGTCTATTTACAGTTTACCAGGTATTGTGGGTAACTCATTTCCATTAGCATGTACCCCTAATAATATCAAGGCTGGTTTTGCAAAAACAGGAATTTACCCACTAAATGTTAACATTTTTGGTGAACACGATTTTATGCCAGCCTATACCACAGATAGACCACCTCCGAAACAAGACTGTGCTGTGGAAAGTACAGTGCTAAATATAAGTAATGTAATGGATGATGACTTTACAATATCTGAGAATGACATGTTAAATGCTGGTTGCTCAAAAGATATAAAACCACGTCAAGATATTTCATATTCAAGCAGTAATGATGAACACAGTGCATCTACAGAGTCAACTGTAGTTCTATCGCCTGAAGATTTAAGACCATTCAAAAAAGCTGAACCAAGAAAAAGAGTTAGGGCTAATAAAAGAAGTAGAACCACATCAATTTTAACAGATTCACCAAATATGAATGTTTTAAAAATAGAGAAAGAATCAGCTAAAAAGAAAAAGTTAGCAATTGAAGAGAGAAAACAAGCAAAAAAGTTAAACGAAGATAATATTAAGATGAGTAAAAGATCAAATAGTAAAGGAAGTTTACACTTAATGGAGAAAAGTTTGAATTGTCCAAATAGCTCTGTTGTAGAGGAGTGTTTTTGTTTGAATGTTGGAATGTTTTCTAAAAGTAAAGCAGGGGAAGTTTGGGTTCAATGCACCCAATGTCACCTTTGGGCTCACGAGTCATGTATAATCGGAAAATCTTTGTTTTTCATTTGCAATAATTGCTGCTAGCCGATTTGAAACTCCATTAGTTAAAAATATTCATGTAATAAAACAATATAAGTTTTAATTCTTATTGTATAACCATAAATTGGGAACACTGTTTTGTTTTGTCACTGTATTTTTTAATTATATTTACTTTCTATTGCTTAAAATGTTACAATGATCCAAAAGTTTGATGATATTGATAAAAGTATATTTCTGCTATGATTCCTTTAAAAAAAAGGGGCTCGGGGTAAAAATATTATTAAAATACACTTAAATAGGACCTTTAACTTTAGCTTTTATTATTGCGAGTCAACTTACCCCTTGAGTATAAGCAACTTACCCCATGGTGGGGTAAGTTGGCGCAATTTTTTTTTTTTTTTTGAGGGCCCAGAAAGGCCCCACAATATTTTTTTTGTAAATGAATACAACTTTTATAAGTTACCCAAATTCATACTCTTTGAAACTACACTTTTATGTTTTCAAAAAAATGTTTCGTTAGGACTACAGAACTCATAGAGTAAAAACCGAGTCAACTAGCCCCGGTCTCCCCTACTATGGAAATAAGAAGAAAGTTATTCGCGGAAGCAAAGGAGCTTCGAAGTAAAGGAAAGTATGCTAAGGTTACTTATAATAAATTATTCACACGCGATTTTAAGTAAATTTTTTTTTTTTTTTTTTTTATCAATTCATAGTTATAAAATTATTTAAATTCTGAAATGGATTCAAACCAACTAAATTTTGAGTCAATTTCATTTAACTTTTTTCAAACTAATGATTTTTTACTTGATAATGAATCCGATCCTGACATAAATTATTTTAGTGAAGCAGGTGCTCTGCAAAACTGCTCTTATTTTTATAACAATGAATTGAAAGATTATCTTAATAGGGATTTTCTTAATGTTATTCATTTTAATATAAGAAGTTTAAAAAAAAACTTTGATACTTTTCATAGTAATATAGAAGAAACTTCTAATATTTTTAACATAATATCCATTACAGAGACATGGTGCAGTTCTGATGATGTTAAAAACTCAAATCGCGTAAGCGATTTGAGTTTTTAACATCATCAGAACTGCACCATGTCTCTGTAATGGATTAGCGCGTAAAAATAAAAAGCAAGGTAGTGGTATTCTTTTTTACGTGAATGAATACACAGGCCAGACTTTTTTTTTGAAGTATTTCTGACGGCGATAAAGAGGTTTTAAGTATTGAAATTTTAACTAAAAATGCAAAAAATATAATTTTAAGTTGTTGTTATCGCCCACCAAATGGAGTAATTGAGGATTTTAATGCCTTTTTACATAATGATATAATTAAAAAAAGTTCACATGAAAAGAAATTAAACTACATAATTGGTGATTTTAATTTAAACTGTTTTGAATACCACACTAATAATAACATTAAAAAGTTTTACAATGATTTTTTCGAAATTGGAGCGATACCGTTAATAAATAAGCCTACCAGAATATCATCAACATCAGCCTCTATATTAGATAATATAATTACAACTGACGTTTTTAACTTATCTTTAAAAAAAGGTATTATTAAAAGTGACGTCTCTGATCACTTTCCCATTTTTTTCTCCATAAACACAAACATCAAAAAAATTCTACACCATAATAAACCTTTCATCAAACGTTTTTTTACGGAAGCGAATTGCTTTGCTTTTAAGGAACAATTATCTTTACTTCATTGGAAACATATAGATTCTAATGATGCTAATTTAGCTTATAATTCGTTTTTACAAACATTTTTTGAAATTTATGATATTAATTTTCCTAAACATAAAATACTAAAAAAAAATAAAGATTTCACGTCACCATGGATTACAAAAGATCTCAGAAAAAGTTCTAAAGTTAAGCAAAAGTTGTATATAAAGTATTTAAAAACGAGAACATTAGAAAGTAAAACAATTTATAAGAATTACGCTAAAAAATTTGAAATGCAAAGAAAAAATTTAAAAAAAAGATACTACATTAATTTACTAGAAAAATATAAAGATAATTCAAAGCAAACATGGCAAGTTTTAAGAGAAATTACAGGCAGTAAGAAATTGAAAGCTAGCTCTTTACCTAAAGCTATTAAAATTGATAATAAAATATTTGATGATCCAGGAGTGGTAGCTAATAAAATGAATGAATTCTTTACTTCAGTTGGACCAAATTTAGCAAAAAAAATTTCAAACATAAACAAAACAATAAACAGATGTAGTTTTCCTTTAATATCTTATCTAAATTCTTTTGAATTGTCTTTTGATAAATTTGATAGAGCTTTTAAAATGCTAAAGTTAAATAAAGCAGTCGGTCCTGATGATATCAATGGAAACATTGTCATTGATTCATATGATATCATAAAAAATATCCTTTTTAAAATATTTAAATGCTCAATTCAACAAGGAATTTTTCCTGATGAATTAAAAATAGCTAGAGTTTCACCAATATTTAAAGGTGGAGACTTACTTAATGTTAGTAATTACCGCCCAATATCTGTTCTCTCTGTTTTCTCAAAGATTATAGAGAGAATTCTTTATAATAAAATTTTTAATCATCTTTCTCAAAATAATATCCTATACAAAAATCAATATGGGTTTAAAAAAAATAACTCCACTGAACACGCTATACTCCAAATAACACAATATATTACTGAATCATTTGAAAGTTCCAAATTTACTTTAGGCATTTTTATTGACTTGTCTAAAGCCTTTGATACGATAGATCATAAAATTCTCTTTAAAAAACTTAAATATTATGGAATCTCTGGCAATGAGATTCCATAATATTTTGAAGCTTTTAAAAAGTTATTTAAGTAATAGAAAGCAATTTGTTCACTATGACGTATCATCAAAATCAAACTTGTTAGATGTAACATGCGGAGTTCCTCAAGGGTCTGTCCTAGGACCTCTCCTATTTCTCATTTACATAAACGACCTTTATGAAGCATCTAATTTAATGACAATTATGTTTGCTGACGACACGAATTTTTTTCTATCTCATGGTAACATAATTACCCTATTTCAAAGTATGAACATAGAATTAATTAAAATTTCAGAATGGTTTAAATTAAATAAGCTTTCTCTTAACATTGAAAAAATAAAATGGTCTCTTTTTCATCCATACTACAAAAAACATCATCTACCAAGTGAATTGCCTGCTCTTTTTATAGATGACATTCAAATTAAAAGAGTAACGGCTACAAATTTTTTAGGGGTTTTTATTGATAAAAATCTGACATGGAAAAAACATATTGAAAACTTATCCTCTAAAATTTCCAAAAGTATAGGAATACTATTTAAAATAAGAACCATGCTAAATAAACATACTTTAATTCAGCTTTACCACTCTTTTATTCATTGCCATCTAAACTATGCTAATGCGGCTTGGGGTAGTGTAAGGAAAACTAAATTAGAACCACTTTATCGCCAACAGAAACATGTTGCACGACTTATTAATTTTAAACATCGATTTTATCATGCTAAGCCTCTTTTAAACGAAATGAATATTCTTAATATATATCAACTTAATATTTTTAATGTATTGTGTTTTATGTTTAAATGTAAGTCTCGCACATCTCCAATTTCTTTTCACAATTTATATTCTTTAAAAGTTAAAAATAAATACAATTTGCGTAATGAAAATTTTATTCTTCAACCAGTTTTCAAAACTAATTTTGGTAAATTTTGTATTTCATTTAGAGGAGCATTTTTATGGAACAAAATAGTGTTAAAACTTTTTGATCTCTCTCTTGAATGGAACTTTTTCTTATTTAAAAGAAAATTAAAAGAAATTCTTTTCTCAGTTGAAAACATTCTGATATATTTTTAAGTTTGTTTTGTTTTTTATTAATACTCTTAGGAAATATTTTATTGTAATTTATATATACGAAATCTTTTATCTTAACTTATATATATATGTATGTATATGTATATGTGTGTGTGTGTATAAGTGTATGTATATATGTGTATATGTATGTATGTATGTATATATATATATATATGTATATATGTATATATGGATATATGTATATATATATATGTATGTGTGTATGTGTATTTATGTGTGTACGTATATATGCATGTGTATTTGTGCGTATTATATGTATGTGTATATATATATATATTGATGTGTAAGTATATTTATTTACATGTTTGTATGTTTAAATATGTATAAATAATTATATTTGTATTTATGTGTGAATATTTGTCTATGTATTATTAAAGGATTATTTATTATTTAAAAACTGTTTAGGCGGTTCTCGATGACAAGATCTTATGATCTTCTGCGAGTATCCGCGTTCTTGTTGTAACGTTAACAAAATTGTAATTCTGACTATACGTATTTTATTCATTCTTATATTGTAAAACTTATTTTGAATAAATAAAAAGAACAAAAAAAAAAAAAAAAAAAAAAAAAATTAATTAAATTGGTTTTTTATGGTTTGTATTTCTTAAAATTTACAATTCTAAAGTACAAATTATCTTTTTTAATAAACATATAGTTATATATGTTTATTAAAAAAGATAATTTATACTTTAATAAACATATAGTTATATTTTAAGCTGGCCTCTGAGTGCAAAATTTATGTAAAACCTTAAATTTTATTACGATATTGTACACTTTTATATCAAACTTTAAGTTTTATATTGAATATCTTAACAGTTTTTTAGCGCTTTTTTGAACGGTTAAGTTTTTATAGTTAAATGTAAACTTATAGAGAAAAGGGGAACATCTTTCTTATATAATGTTGGATAAATCCTTAGCAGTTACGACGCTATCTCACGGTTTAGATCACTGTGAAAATAAAGATTTAAGAAAGAAAAAACTGGAAGAAATGCAAGTAATTCATTTTTTAAATATCTCTAAGTATAGTAAAAGTTATATACACGCTCTGTTTAAAGTTCAGTAAAAGTTATATACACACTCTGTTTAAAGTTCAGAAATTGTTAACTTGCATACAGCAAAGCAAAATGAATTTGTTTATTCAACTTTAAAACAATTAAGTAACTATCAAAATTATTATTTCCCAGCTTAATTATTGTTTCGTTAAGTACACCTTTTTGGATTATATATATATATATATATATATATATATATATATATATATATATATATATATATATATATATATATATATATATATATATATATATATATATATATATATATATATATATATATATATATGGTTATTTAGGTGCCCCTAAAAGAAATGGGAGATTATTAAAGTTATATCGTAAAAATTTTGGATTTAATTTAATTAGACATAAAATACTGTGTTATTAATAACTGCTTGCTTAAAAAAACTGAACTGGTTTTGATAGCGAAAAAATCGTATATGTCTAGTACAATTCATTCGTTAGATGTCATACAATAAGTTATCGCTCAGAATATTAAATAACATGTCGTCAAAATGTGGAGCCAATGATGATTGAGATAAATGAAATACAATGATACAATAATATTGTGATGAATGATGCACATTGCATATAGTGATTGAATTTATGAGATCGTTTCAAAGGTTTGGTTAAACTAAACTTTAAACCTCCGTGTATTTATACGTCCTTTGTCAGTCTAAATTTATGATTTAAAAAAAATAATGAACGATTTTTTACATTTAATTACTTTTAAAAAGTATTTATTTTTAATTTTAAAGAATTAACAAAGTAGTTGTTATTATATTTCAGCATTGGTGACCTTAACATTGATAGTTTAAAATACAATTAACACTAATTAACATCATTCGAAATACATTTTTTTTTGACAATATGTTTCAACACGGTGTCTTCAAAATTGTTAACAAACGCACACCTGTCACTTAACGTCACTTGTATTACATCAACTTCCATTATTGCTTTTGACGTACTTTAACAAACTCTTTTTTATAGTAAAATTGTCTTCGTTTGAACATTTATATATTAGATTTGAACATTTATATATCAGACATAAACATTTTTTCATTTCTAAGTATTAGTTCTTTATTCCTAAATATAAGTTTTAGCTAATTTTATTGTTTTTTAAAAAAAATTTAATACAAGTAATAAAAAATTTAATAATACCATTATATTTTATTGAAAATTATCATTAATACTATATATATAATATTGTTCAACAAAATCATGATTTAATTAAACAATACCAAAATAGCATACGATAATGTACCAAATGATAATTAAATAAACAAAACCACAACACCGTTTTAAATAAAAATTATTTAATTACGTATATACTTCTGATATTGATGTGCATTATCTCGTCATTTTAATCTGTTTTTAATTGGGTTTCGAATAATTTAATATCAAGGTTTTTTAAGATCACATACATTCCATTGAGTTATTGTGTATCTGCGTCACAGATGCTGTGAAGTAAGTAATTGTTAACGTTTTCTAATAAGTTGAACTGAATTGTTTTGGAGCCACTTTGTTTCGCAGCCACTTTGTTTCGAAGCCACTATGTTTCATAAGCCACTGTGCTTGTTTAAAAAATTATGTTTACAAAATCCACTTACTTATTTACTATCCAATTAATTCCATCTTTTTTTGATCAAGCTTCACTCTATAACTAATTTTCTGTTCCTACACTACCTCATTAAACATACACATACACTTAAAAAGTAGCCGCAAAGCAGTTTTTTCTTAATAATAGAAATTTTATCTGACCTATTGCATTTGCTTATTCAGTAAGTAAAGACTACATAAATGCTAAACTGTTACTTCAGAAGATAAGTTAAGAAAAATACAAATTATACTTTATGCTACTGGGATTTCAAGAGCACGACAAGGTTTTTGATCATAGTTTTATTTAAATGAAAAAAGGATACCAAGGTAAATAGGATGCAGTTATACTAAATGACTACCCAGTGGGCACCGGACCAAAAAAAGAAGTTTTTTGAACGTTTAAAAGACGTCCAAAACGTTCTAAAGACGTTCAAAACATGTATAAGACGTTTAAAAGACGTCTTTTTTATGTCTTGTGCCCTCTGGGTACACCTGATGTTTACTAAGGTAAATGTGATGCAGTGATAAGGAATGACAACACCTACATGTTTAATGCGTTATGATAACAAATTTCAAGTGAAAATCATGTTCAAGTGTTCACATTTAATTTATTTAGAGAGTATGAACCTCAATAAATTATTTAAATAATTTTAATGAATCCCGAGATCATTTGTAAAACTTTCACCGTAACTTTTTTTTCCAATAATTTCTAATTATTTTCTGCATAATACTAAAGCAAGGCATGTTTTACAGGATACTTACTGTTGTTATCAATCATTGTTTTAATAAAAGCGTTTATTATGTAGTAACTTTATCATATATTCAGGGGAGAAAAATTTTTTTGTGTTCAATATAACTTTACTTTCAAACTTTTTGTGTATTCTACTGTCAGATAAAAGATCTTTAACAAATACGGAATAATAATTATTTAAAATAAATATTTTTATAATAATATTAAAAAGTAAATTTTTAGTTTTTAATTCAAACCAATTATTTAAAAAATAATTGGTTTGAATTAAAAACTAAAAATTTACGATAAAAGTTATAAAATGATCATGGGATTCATTAAAATAATTTAAATAATTTATTGAGGTTCGCACACTCTAACGTTAGTCTTTTATGGTGTTTTAATGTAAAACACTATATAGGAGCAAAAAAAATGGTGTTTAAAAAAATATATAAAACATCAGGAAAAATATATAAAACATAGGACTTAGAAAAATATATAAAATATAGGACTTAGGAGTTTTTACTACATAACAATTCCTATATGGAATTTTAAATAAAGTTTAGTCCTATATGGTGTTTTAAATAAATTGGTTTGGTCCTATATGGCGTTTTAAATAAACTGGTTTGGTCTTATATGGTTTGGTCTTATATGTTTTAAATAAATTGGTTCGTCCTATATGGTGTTACAATTTTTCCATGAATATTTACAAGTTGAGTATAAAACGATGAAAAATAAGTACATAATTATTAGGTTTCACGGAAAAACGAAAAAATGTGCAATCCCAGTGGGCACCGGACCAAAAAAAGACGTCTTTTGAACGTTCAAAAACGTCTAAAAAGATGTCTAAAACGTGTATAAGACGTTTAAAAGACGTCTTTTTTACGTCCGTGTCTACTGGGATGTAATAGACAAAAGAAATTTGAGGTAACAATTAAAACAAAAAATTCAAACAATCAATGTCAAATACACAACACACTATTTCAAGATGAATTTATTTCCTACATCCTATTATCTACAGTATTATATATATCCTATCATCTAGAGTCATATTATTCTGAGCAGAGACCGATTAAATAAAAAATAAAACAAATCATTTTCAAACTTTTTTGTTTGAAAATGATTTCTTAATAAAATTTATAATAATATATTAAAGTATAATACTAGCAGTAAGCAACCCGTAATACGGGTTGTTAGTAAATAAAATTAAAAAAAAAAAGCCGCGAATAGAAAAGTCTAGAAACTACTTTAAAATAAAAAAGCCTAGAAAATGACGTAAGACGACTATTACTACTATTAAATTAGCGTATTAATATTATCAGATGGCATATTATGTAATATTATGGTATAAAATTAATTTTTAAAGACTTTTTAGCTTTAAAAGTCCAAAAGTCTTTTAAAGCGGCGATTAGTGTTAAGTGCGTTGCCAACGGTGATACGGTGTTGCTTAAATACTAGTTCTAATAAAACTAATAACTTGTTGGATTCTTTAAACAAAAGATCAGCATTGTCAAATTTGAAAGTAACTGATCTGAGAGCTTAAATAATATCTCAGTTCTAAATTTTTTTTTTAATATTACAATATCAAGATAATACGCGATAACAATCGATTAGATTCAAATATAATCAAAATTTCTAATCAAAGATAAATGTGTTTTAAAAAGGTTTTTGGAAATTTAACTGAAATTAAATTACAGATATCCTGTTATAATTTTTGTGTAACTCCGTGTCAGTATATAAATTTTATCTAAGTTTGCGTAGGACAGTGGTGTAACTAGGGGGAGCATAACCCCACAAGGCGGGGTCCCAGAACTTAGAGGGCCCCGCGGAGATTTAGAAATTTTACTCATATGAATAATATGACTGGTAATAATAATATAAGTGTTACTAATTTCTGTTTTATCAAATATATTTTATGAATTTATAATTTTTCACGTATCCCTACGGACATTTTTGGAGAAAAAAACTGAGAAAAAGTTTAAGGAGGGCCCCTTTACTTTTTTGGCGGGGGATGCCCCAAATTTATAGTTACGCCTCTGGCGTAGGAATAAGTGTTTTTTAAAAGTTTTAAAAATTAACTTTATTTAAAGGCTAAACAATTTTTTTTCTAAACAAACAACTTAAATGTTTTTTATTATAACTTAATATATAATTTTAAAAGCAAAAAACTACCACATACGCATGCATATACCAAATTAGTTGCATGTGTTTTTATATAAAGAAAACTTTAACAAAGTAATTAAAACATACCTTCATTATAACAAAAATTCAACTATATTGGAATGTCCACTAGCTTTGAATTCGAAGGAAAGTTTTTCCCGTCGTATTTCGTGAGAATTACTGTTTTAAATTAATTTGTTAAAAAATCCTCTTTATTCATCCCATCATAACTCAGTTTAATTAAACTTAATCCAATTAACAATTTAATTTGTCTCTTTTTTGTTTATACTGTATTTGATAACCAATCGTTTTAAAATATAGATTTTTTAAGTTGAAGTCATTTGACTATTGCTGAGCGTTTAAATTTTTTTACTCATTTTTTTTTTACCTAAAGCTACCCAATTAACACAAAATGTGTTTTCGACTTGTAAAATAAAATTTTAAAAACGTTCATACGTTTTAATGGGTATTTTAAGTCATCTAAAACATGTTTTGTGACTAAAGCATATGAGTCTTTAAAACGTTTTTTACATGTCAATATTGTCTAAATATATAGTCTGTTTTAGCGATATCTGTCCTAAACGAAGAAATAGTCTATTTGAACGTTTAGGTAATTATAAAATTTTAGGTAACTTTTAGGTAATTAGGAAATAGTCTGATTAAACTTGTGGGAAAATTTGAGGTGCGCATAGTTCCTAAAACCCTATGTATTTAATATTAAGGTTTTTTGATGTAAATAAACTTTTAATTAAAAAACTTTATCAACCATTCCTTATTTACAAATCAAAGTATTGTCGCTTCACTTACGCACATCATGACGTGCGTAAGTAAATATGAACGTAAGAAAAAACGTTTTGGCATAAAATGATTAAAAATAAAACAACTAAAGAAAATTTTGTCCAATGATCTACTTTTTGTATATCTACAGGGAAAATCTTTTTAAAGTCACATTGGCTCCAAAAAAAAAAAAAACAATTTCTATGCAGCATTTGTCTCTAGAAATAGTAAAACAAAAGCAAGCTGAGCTTGAGATGCTTTTTTTCTTTTTTTGAATTGTGTAAAACTTATAATTTCTTTATTTATAAATGAAAGTATTAAAGTATACGTTCTTCAAGACAAGGATTTTTATTAATAAATATTCTTGTTTTGAAGAACACATGTTTTAATATATGTTCATCAAAACAAGAATAAATATTTGTTGCACTCTACTACTGGGATATTGTGAACTGATATTAGTTGAAATAGGTGTGAGTTAAAAAAATAATATCAAAACTGTTAAAGTGAAATCACTTTATTCTTTTTTTGGGTGTAATTTTGTCAATCTGATAAAATTGAAATAGTGAACAAAAAAACTCCGAGAAAATAAAGAACTATTTTACTGATCACAAACTTATATCTAAAATACAATATTTTAGTTTAGTTTAAAAAACTATGATAATGCGGAGTGCATCATCGTTTTTTAAGTCTACAGGAAAGATAAAATGGGAAGCACAATTGAAATCGTTACACAACTTAAAGGTCTCGGTAACTTTTCAAGAATATCCAATAGTGAAACCTCAAAAAAGGGTCATTCCACGCCAAGTGGTCCAGAGCCCCATTCGAACATCTCAGATTTTAATAAAAATTTGTCAGTATGTAGTTTCATCAACATTACCAAAGTTTTAGGGTAAAATATTTTTTATTTTGGATTTTGAGGTACTTTTTGTAAGGCTTATCCAAATATCAATATCAGTCAGTAGCTAAAAATTGTATTTTTAAGGTCTAATATTTTTCTAATATTTTTCTAATATTAATATCAAAAGTATTAAATACTATCTTATTTTCAGATGACACTAATTTGTTTTATTCTCACAAAGATATTACTGTTCTTTTTAAAATATTTAACGAAGAATTAGATAAAATGAACGAGTAGTTTATAAGTAACCGACTATCATTAAATGTAGAGAAAACAAAATTTATCCTATTCCATAAACCTAGTAAAGCCGAGAATATTCTTCTAAAACTACCCAATCTTTTAATCAATAATAAAATAATTAAAAGGGAATTGACTACAAACTTTCTGGGAGTGCTCTTAAATGAAAAATTGTTATGGAAATTTCATATTAAGTTTATTGAAGGTTAGATCTCAAAAAGTATTGCCATGTTATACCGAACAAAACCTTTTCTTAATAACGAGTCTTTAAAAAATTTATATTTTTCGTTTATACACAGCTATCTTTCATACTGCAACATTTCCTGGGGTAGCACTAATCACACTAAACTCAAAAAAATTTATAGTAAACAAAAACATGCTTGCAGGATAGTATTTGGGACAAATAGAAAAACACAATGCGAACCTTTCTTACGTCAGCTTGGAGCTTTAAATATTTATAAACTTAATATTCATCAAGTAATATTATTTATGTTTAAAGCAAAACTTGGATTTTCTCCAGTAACATTTCAATCCTACTTTAATGAAATCTCCCATAAATATCCAACCAAATTTTCAGTGAATAACTTTGTTGTTCCTATAAACATTTTTAAATTAAGTTCGTTCCAAATTCAATATCGGGGACCTTTAGTTAGGAAAAAATTTCTTCCAACCTTTAGTAAAAAACAAAACTTCGTTTTAAACTGCACTTTTCAAAGTTTTAAGGATGATTCAAAACGGCATTTACTAAACATGGAATTCGATATATTAGATTTCAAATATCTTTTTTGAAAACAATTTAAAGGTTTAAACTAAATCACTTAAAAATAAATTAAATCTTTATCACTTTCTTTGGCTTTTATTAAAATGGTTTCAAACCATTAGTATAAAAGATAACTATTTTTGATGATATTAAATAATCAGCCCAAATACTTCTGTTTACATATATTGCTTCTTTTTTTTTTTAATTAAACAACGCATTTTTTTTTTTTGTGTGTTTTTATAACTTTCATGATTCTCTGTCCTTTTTACTTTTTTATTTTATTTAAAATTATTCTGCTGGAAGATTGTTAGCAACAAATTATTTTATTGCTGAAGTTTTTGATTTGTTTTTGTTTTTGTATTTATACTGTCTTTTTGCCTTTTATCATTTATTGTGCATGTAAATTTTTGTGTGATGGGGCTTGGTGATAAGACAACCTGTCTTCTTCTTGCTCCGGCCAGGATTTTCTTTTATTGTAATTTCTTTTTTGTAATATTTATCAACGGCAAAATAAATGGATAAATAAAAAAATAATAATAAAAAAAAAATAGGTACAGATTTTTTAAACACCTCTTCGCTGCTAGAATTTCAGGACAATCTGAGTTCAACATTTTGCGGTAGTTGTTTTAGTATATTAGGAGGGTGGTTAGATTGAGCATGTATGTAGTTTAAAGTATTATCAGGTTTGCAGTATGGTTGGTATGACTGGTCGCAGAGGTTAAGAGTTACGTTGAGGTAATTCACAATTTTGAGGTTGCACTGTATAGATATTTTAAGATTGTTACATTTGAATAAGTGAGTGATATACTTTTTAATTTTCTCCATTTGCTGACCAGTAGCATTTTTAAAAACTGCTAATCCGTCATCGCAGTATAAGCCAAAGTCATATTTACTATAAAAATGCGAAATTTGAAAAAGAATGATTATCCCAACAAACTCACATATCTCCGCACCATCAAACGCACCAATGGTAACGTCAAACAAATCGCATGACTTTTTCATCCAAACCTGGCCATTATTAAACAGTAAAGATTTCCTTGCATGAATAATAATTGACTTATGTTCTATGCTTATAGTGACATGTTTTTTCGCAAAACTGATTGAATTGTTAAGGAGTTTTTCACTAATTGAAGGGTAGAAATCGTTGATATCAAAGATGAGGAATTTATAAAGGTGTTTTTCTTTTATATTTTTAAACCAATTGATAAAATCTTGAGTGCTTTTCCACTGAAACTCTGAGTACCAACAAAAAGTTGTATTTTTTTCATTTTAATACTAAATAATTATATTAGATCTATTATAAAAATCTTTGTTTTTATAATATTGATCACTTTTAAACGAACAAGAGTTTTTTTGTACATTATTATACAAAAAACATTATACAAAATAACAAAATACAAAATATACAAAATATATATATATATATATATATATATATATATATATATATATATATATATATTTATATATATACTTGTTATTTCAAAATATTAAAAAAAAGTTGAAGAAAAAAACATATTTCATTTTACAGTAAATTTTTTTTCTTGTTGCCCTTTCAAAAAAAGATATAAAAAAGGACATTTGCTATCGAAAATTACATTCAAAACTGGTTTAAAATATTTTTTTATATAAATTTTATATAGCAACAATTATCTGAAAAGTTAATAACAACATTTAATTATTTTATCAAAAACTTATTCTACACTTTTGCTTTGTAAAAAACTTTTTTTACTTTACTTTCACTTTTTTTTTTTTTTTTTGCAAAAAAACATTACTTGAAATGATTTTTTGTTGAGAATAAATTCTTATAAAACTTAATTTAAATTTTTTTGAGTTCCCCAATATATCTAATTAAAAATTATTTTTAAAAAAATTAAGTTTTCAAATATGGATTTTTATAGTTTTGTCCACCTATTGGCCACTGTGCATTCGATTAAACAACAATTCAATAAAAAATTAAAAATATGTAAACGTTTACGCAACGGGAACCCTCACATCATTTGAATAGATGGCAAAAAGAAGGGTCAAAAATGTACTTTACACCCGTTGAGGGAAGTCATGGAGAGGTTTATTCGTAAAAAAATATATATTTTATAATAGGAATATCAAGGTTCGGGCACCATATGCAAACAATGTTAGTTGAAATTTAAAAAAGTCAATTTTTGGAACACATCCTCCTCAATAAATGAACGTCTGTAAAACGTCAAAATGATGTTTAGACAAGACGTTTAGTTTTGGTCAATTATTCGTTTAGATTGAAACCCAGATTAACGCTTTAAAACAAGTCTTTATTAAATGTCGAGTTTCAAACGTATTTTTGATGTTTATAAAAGGATTATTAAACGTAGAAAATAATAATAATTGCTAATAGACCAAAGCCCAGCAGCGCAAACTTAATGGTTTATCTCCATCCATTGTCCGAAATGGACGGATTGCTTTGAGATTTTCGGATCTAGTAGCTAACAGTCTCTACCAAATGTCACGGTTTTGACCAAATGCTATACTTGCTTTCTAACAGCACCGTAGCCAACCAAAAGGCAGTAAAGAGCCGGAATTAGACTAAATACTGTTCTTGATCCTAGCGATAAGACTAAGAAGCAATTGCTTTTTTTCAGCATATTCGCTATATATAGCATAATCGCTCAAATTTCTATTCACGTAAAGCTGAGCAATTTTCTTCAAAAACGCTCAGCTTTGCGTGAATAAAAATTTGAGCAAAATAACTAAAAATTTTATTCCCATAAAGCTGAGCAATTACTCAAAAATACTGAGTAAAAGCAATTGGTTTTTTTATTCACCCGGCCTATTAAACTTTGATCAATAACACCTTTAAGGTTTTTTGCAAATTACACTAAAAAATACCACAGGTTTACTTGTGGTACTTTATGTATCTGTATGTATGTATGTATCTTTACATATACTTTATGTATATGTAATCTATCTGCAAACTTAAATTCTATAATGTATGCTAATGATACTAATTTATTTATGTCCAATAATAATATTAGTCAGCTATATAGAGATATTAATATTGAGTTGATGAAAGTAAATAAATGGTTTAGAGCTAACAAACTCTCAATAAACACAGATAAAACTCAATATACATTATTTTATAAAAAAAACACAAGAAGAAAATCTACCACTTAATTTATGAGCTCTCTTTATAAATGATAAACATTAAAAAGCAGGAGTTTTTAAAATACCTAGGAGTTTTTGTAGTTAAAAAGTTATCTTGGCTTTCTCACGTAAAATACATAGAATCAAAAATAAAAAAACAATTGGCAAAATGTACAGAACTAACCCTTTTATAAATACATAAAGTCTTAAATTTATATGACTTAGCCTAATTCCTAGCTACATTATTTAAGGTAACATTGCGTGGGCACAACTTGCTAAACTTAAAAAGATATTTCCCAGCAAGAACATTGAAACAATTTTGAAACAACATTGAAAAAGTGTTAAAATTTCAGGTTGAAAAATGGTTGATTTTTAGTTAAAATGAAAACGCAAATCTACGTTGAAACAAACGTTAGATCAACGTTGAATAGAAACCAAAATTCAACGTTAGATTAACATTGATTTAGCGTGGACTCAACGAACTTATATACGATTTTAAAAACCTTTAAAATACAGCAGCTTTTTGCGCCGTGACTCTTTAAATCCGTAAAACATATTTTTTTTGTACAATATTGTGTTGTTGTGAGTAAGAAAAGTAAAAAAATTCTTCATAAATTTATAATAGTTGTTATAATACAATATCTTATGTTATTGTACTCCACATTTTATTCTCAATTGTTACAGCTTTCATTTATTATTAATAGCTAATTATTAAATTATATTTTCAATGGTGGCTTGGATTCTTTTTTTTATTTTTATGGGTGATGTCCTTGGGCTTGTTTGTTATTCTGCCAAATTTATGCCTTGTTCATTATCTTTTGGATTCAGGCAGGCGTGTAAGCATTTTTTCTTTCTCGTTGATTTAAAATCAAGTTTATATCAACCGCTCTACACTCTCCCTGTCATTTAAAAAAATTAGAATTAATATTGTTAGATATCTAAATAGATATTATCTATAATAGATAAAATATTATTGTTAGATATCCTACCTCCCCTGCTAAAGTTATTCTCGCGCAAACTTTCTGCAGGTTGTAGACACATATTCTGCAGGTTGTGAATTCACTTTCTGAAATTTGTAGACCTGTCGCAGTCTTACTTTCATAACTTCTTTTATTTCCTATTAATCTATTTAACGCTTCACTGAGTTTTGGTTTAATCCTGATGACAAACTGATTTCTGGGGTAACACTTGGTTTTATTCTTGTTTCTGTATTGTTTCTTATCTATACTAATAATTTTCCTAATAATGTTACCTTAAAAATTGCTTTATTTGTTAATCACACAGCTATGTACTAGTCTTGAAAAAAAGTCATCACTATTTAATCGCTTTAAAAGGTCTTCTATATTAAATACAATCTCTCTTTTGTGAAAGCTCGATACTTTTAGTTGCTGGTGAATTTCAACCCAAAAAACTTTAGTTGTTTACTGCTACTAATGATTGTTATTTTGTTGATATTTTTATATCGATAAATGGTTCTCTTGTTAAGACTTTTATTTTATTTTTTAATTATCCTTCTAGGAAACTACAGCAACTTGCTAAAGTTTCTCTCTTAAATGTGCCTCCATTTTCTTACTCCTGATTCTGTTTTTAAAGAGAATTGAACTATCTTTTAAATGCATAACTTTTGTATTATTGGTGTTAATTTTAAATCTTTTTGTTCCAATTCCATTTTTCCAACACTGAACTGTTATCAATAGCTCAGATACTTTTATTATCTCTGTAGCCACAAATCATCTCAGATTAGCTATAATAGAACTTATTATACAATAATAAAAGCAATGAATTGAACATGAACCCTGGGGAACCCCAAAACCATTACTCTCTTCATTTTTTACCCTGACAATGGTTGTGACGTTTTTATACATACCATGAGAACCGTCACAAGCCATTGTAACACCTAAATTCCATTAGGCACATCAAGCCACCTTTCTTAGTACAGTGTCAAAAGCATTCTCTTGGTCAACAAATGTTACCCTCAGACCTTTTTTTTTCTCAAAGGTCTTACTTGAACTTAGAGTATTTATTGCACGTACTGGTCTAAAATCAAACTGCGTGTTATTGATAAATACACTGCTTCTTAATTTTTTTTGATAACTTTTTTCTAAAATCTTTAATTCCTGATCAAGCATTTTTATTCCGCGATGTAAACCATATTCTATTGCGTTTCTGTCTCTTTTACAATTCTATACCATTCAATTTTTTTTTTATCATTAGTCATAAAACTAAGGTTCTAATAATCAGGTTTCTACTTTAATACATATTGTAGTTATTTAAATTATTACATACTGTAACTAATACATACTGTGGTTATTTAAATTTACTTTTTTTTAAAGTTACTAATTAGTAACTTTAACAAAGTTTCTAATAAGTAACAATAAGACGCAGTTTGATTTTAGGCCAGTAAAGAGCGAATCTACAGTAGTTACTAACCCTGACCCTTACAGTAATTGTATACAATTACTCGGAAAATTTTTTACTGAATTTATATAGTAAATTCAAGTTAACATATTTTTTTTAATTTAGGTGTAACTATGTACAAATAAATATAGATATCAAAGTTTGAGCTAATTTTTAAAGTAATTACAATGTTTAGAATAGTAAATAAATAATCCAAATCTAATTTTTACGTAGATGAATTTCAAAGATGCCCCCTGAAAAAAGAAGAAAAATTAGAGGAAACCTTATCCAAAAGATACTAGCTTTGAAAACAAACGGGATCTATAATGAATGGACGCAACAGTTAAAAACAAACCAAAATTTTTGTTTATTATTTTGTTATAACTCAATCAAAATATATTTTCAAAGAAAAATGATAATTTTTTTTGATAATTTTTTTTTATTGTTGGGATTAAGTACTTATAACTAAAACATTCTCAGTTTTTTTATGTTTGTTGTTTTTTTTATGTTTTATGTATAATTGTTATAATAATTTATAATTATTTCACGAGAAATATTAAAATATCAGTTACATTTTTATAACAAGGTATAAATTTTATTCATTTCTTGACTTCCAACAGCTCAATAACTCTATAATATTGGTTGAGTAAATACAGTGTTACATGGGCATCATACCGAATGCTGTTTCAATTACTCTGAATAAAAAAGCATTACAAATCTACAGAAAAAAGAAATACGTAAAATTATACTTTACAAAGACTTTTTCTGTTAATTCGTATGGAAAAAGGGAAATAAGGAAACCGTAAATTTTACGGAGATAGTTGTCTCTTTGCTAACGGATTTTTTCCACCAAATCTAGGAAAAAAATTTATAACCGTGTACCGCTATCTCGTTTTGACAAATACAATCATGGTTACTGCTAAAGCAAGTTATTTTCACTTAGTTTATTGATTCAGTCTCACATGACTTATCATTCAGCTCAAGTAGTCCACAAGGCAATAAGCTGGCGTACTACTGAAATATAAACACAATACCATCATTCAGCTAAGTTGCATCATTTTATTAACTTATAGTAAAATAATGCAACTTAGCTGAATGATAAGTCATGCGAGATTGAATTGATAAATTAGGTGAAAATAACTTGCTTTAGCAGTAACCATGATTGTATTTGTAAATAAAGAGAGAGCACTTATAGTATAAATGCTCTTTCTTTCTCAAAATATATTTATTCATATAGTCTTTTTCTTCAAAAATTGGTACTTTAGCATTCTCTCGCGTCTTTTTTTCCTGACTCTTTACAATTTGCAGTTTAAATCTTCTATCAACTGCTTTCTTGATCTTTAACTCTCATCTCTGCTTTCTGTTAACTCCTAATATAAAGTATTACTGTTAACTCCCAACCTAAACAGTGGTTACTTGGAGCTTTTTCGAAAAGAAACTCGTAAAAAAAACTAATAAAATTAATTAAAAAATAGCATTATTTGTTTCCTGTTTTGTATAAAATGTATGAATCCACTATAAAGCCCTAAATCCTTTTATTATTAAATTATATTCAGGCCTATTTTACAGGTACTTTATTTTAAAGTTTATGGTACTTTATGGAAGTTAAACTTAAAGTACTTTAAAGTTTTTTAAATAATTTCAATTTCACTACTTTAGTAACTATATTCCAATACTGTTATTTGTATCCTAATTGGAATCAGTGACGGACCCAGGTATTTTTGCGGGAAAAGATGTTGAAGTATTTTTTGTATTTTGTACTGCATTTGAATCTCCTAAGAAAAAAAAAAGTCCTCAATTTCTAAGATTTTTTTAGGACTTTGAGGGGGGGATGACACATCCCCCGTACCCCCTCATGGATCCGTCACTTTTTTGAATAATAATATTATTTGTGTCTTTAATTACATAAAATGTTTCCACTTTAATGCAGTAAATCGTATTGAAAAAATTTATTTGATTAAAAATAATTATTTTTATTTATATTTTAACTTAATATTTACAAAAATTTCAAAAGTGTTAAATCATTTCATAATTACAACCGCAAAAATGTATGCTAACAATATTATAAAAACGTTTATCACCCAAAACTGATGTATGCTGCTCGAGCTGCTTTTAAAAGTGTTAGGCTCATTTACTATATTTGTTTTGGGATCGATAAATTGAGTAACTACATTTTCAAATTGATTGATATCTTCTGATTTGTGTTCATTAGCTATACTTACATTGCCCGTTTTTATGAAATATAATGAAGTTGATGAAAGAAAGGTATTTACAAATGAAGTTATATTTGCATTACTTGGAGTAAAAATACTTTCTATTTTTGAGTTTTCTAAAAATAAAACTGTCTCAACAACAGTGATTGGAGTTGTTTCTGCATTGTTTGGACTAAAAACGATTGCTTTCTTTGAGTTTTCGACTTTTGATTTGATTTGGTATGGAACTAGCTTTTCTCGTATTAAAGTTGTTTTCTTTGTTTCCGCATAACTAGGTTTAAAGGTATTTTTTGTGTTTCGGCTTTCCGGACGCAAACGTGGAGTTTCTTTTATCATTAAATTCTCTTTATTAGTTAAATTCTGCAATGAGATTATTTTAGATTTTTTTTTGTATGGTACTGTCATTTTCTTCATGGCAGTTTTTTCACTTACTATGACAGAGATTTTGTTTTCTTTGATGTAACTTAAATTATCAATATTTTTTTTGTTTGAGTAATTCTGAAATGGAACTGGTGTCTTTATATTTTCAGTTAAATCAGTATTTTTTTCTGTATAAAGAGGATAAAAGGAACTTTTAATCGTAAAGTTTTCCTGATAAAAATCTGGGTTTTTATCTATGACAGTGGTTGCGTTTTCCTCCATAGAGTTATTTTCTTGTGAAAACTTTTTATTTTTTAAATTTACTAAAGAGTTAAGTGGCGTTCTCTCTATCGTGGTGGTGGCAGCTGCTTCTATGTAATTTGAATTAGAAAACAGTTCTGTCAAATAATTTTCCTTAAATAAAATAGGAGTTTTTTTTAAGACAATTGTTGAACTATGTTGCTCATCATTTGAATTTTGTAGAATTTCTGTTAATAAATATTTCTTGGATTGAACTGGTGTTAAACTCATATTAACAGTGCTTGTATTTGATAGTTTTTTATTTGGAAAGTTTGCCGTAGTTAAGTTTTCTAGATAAAAAACGGGAGTTTTCTTTATAGCAAAAGGTATACTTGCTTGAAATTCGGAAGCAGTTGCTTGAATTTCAAAAGGAGTTGTTTGGAATTTATTTAAAGTTGCTTGAATTTCGGGAGAAATCACTCTATTTTTAGAAACAACTGCATAAATTTTTGACGCAGTTGCTTGAATTTTGAATAAATTTTCTTCAGTTTTAAGCCAAGGTGTTTGGAGTTCGGACAAAGCCTCTGAAATGTTGTGCGGACTTGCGTGAATATTGGAAGAGGCAGTCTGAAATTTGTACGGAGTTAGTTGAGTTTTACTTGTTATTTTATAAAAGCTTCCATGCATTACAGTATTCGATGACGTACTCTCTTCAGAACTTTCATTTTGATATGAACCTGACTCTGTTAATAAAAATTTAAATTGAGATTTTTCAGAATAACCAGTTAATGAATTGGCATTTTGAAAGAGTGATGTGTTGGGATTCAAAAGATGTATTGGAGTTTGAAATGTTTCCTGAGATTCATAGGATGTATTTCCCATTTTAAAAGTTTTATATTTCTTTACATCGATAACTTTTATCAAAAGTGTTGTATGAATCTCAAAATTTTTGTAGGAATTGTTGATTGATTGTCGACTCATACTAATTTTTGGAGTTGATTGTCGACTCATGCTTATGTTTAGAGTTTGTCGTTGACTCATGCTTATATTTGTAATTGATTGTTGACTCATGCTTATTATTGGGGTTGATTGTTGACTCATGCTTATATTAGGAGTTGGCTGCTGACTCATGCTTATATTTGTAGTTGATTGTAGACTTATGCTTGTTTTTGTAGTAATTGTTGCTTTTTTTTGAGATGTACTTGAAATATTAGGGTTTACGTTACTAAACTTGATAATTTTTTCGTTGACAATTTTATTACTGCTAGAACTAATTGTTACAAAACTGTTTCCTTTTGTGTATTTATTATTTAATAATGAACTTAATACTAAACTTTCTTTTGGTTGTTCAAACGTTTCTAATATATCATTATTTTCTCCTGATCCAATATTACTAATAAAAGATTCACATATTCCATCAGAGTCGTCACAATTTTCTAGTGATTCTCCATCTCCGGATATCTGAATACTTTCCACTAACTGATTATCGTCTTGATCTGAAATTATAAGGATTTTTATTGAAATATTGAGTGGTTATAATTAAAAAAAAGATTTCATAGTGTTTGAATAGGATGTTTAGTGTTTGAGAAAATAAAAACAGAAAGATTTAAAAAGGTTTTTTGAGCAAAGATTATCAAAATATTTAAAATTAGGATTTTAATATGCAAAAGGATGTATAAAATAAAATAGCGTAGTAGGTGAGAAAACGCGACACTATTTACCAAAAATGCAATTTCTTCCGTCTTTTTGAAGTATAAAGCCTTTCCTACAAAAACATTCAATTACGCCTTCATCTATCGTTTTGCATAGCTGATTACAGAAACCGTACGAGCAATCTGAAATAAATTGATAATAAATATAATCGATAATAAATGATAATAAATCGATACATATTGTAAAACTAATCTAAATATTATGAGAAAATTTAATTTTAAAAACAAAAGTTTATACATACATTTTGTATATTTTAAACAAAGCTAATGTTTTAAAAATTACATTTTAGTACAATATTAAAAATATGGAATAAATAACAAGGATTTATATTTTCCTGCGATATTATAATATCTTACTTGAGTTCTCAGTTCGTTATAATATCTTACTTGAGTTCTCAGTTCGTTATAATATCTTACTTGAGTTCTCAGTTCGTTATTTTCCTCTTTTTTAACAAGTATATTATTTAAAAGCAATTTAAAATTTTTTAAAATATGAAAAAGTTGTTACAATTAAAATTTATGACAGCATCGTTTTGATAACTTAAAATTGACTTTTTTACCTCCTATAAACAATTTTCCATTGGTAGTTACGATGCACATGACAGTAATTAGTGAAATGATCTTTAAGATAATTTCTCCATTCTTTTTTTTTGACATTTTTTATGGTTAGTTACTCTTTCGCCTTTTTTATTACTTTTAGCTTTTTAATGTACCTGTTGTAACTATATCTTTTATTGACTTTCAAAGTTCAATATTTTTTAACCCAAAGTATTTTTTTATTTAAATATATTTAAACCGATTCATCGCGATGAACAAATTGCTATTTTTAAATAATGGATTAAATTTTAGCCGCGCGATACTCGTTTGTCAACATTTATTATTTTATTAACATTTATTGTTATTTAAATTTAATTATTACAAAGCTATCAGATAAGTGCATTCAAATACGCAAACAAATTAGTCACACTTCAAACTTGTCCCCTATCAAGTTTCAAAGAAAATAAACAGATTTCCTCAGTATTTTGTTAAACTTTTTTTGTTTTTACTTAAAATATTCAAGCAGTTGTAAAAAGTTTAACTCCTCAAGTTAATCTTAATCTCCTTTTTTTAGCAATGTTTTTTTTTTTATCTTTTTAAGTATCTACATAAGAAAACATGATATGCGATAAACCATGTGTTAAATGTTTTCATTTGTAGGTGCGATTTGTGTTTTGATTACTATGTAATTACGGCTATGTTACCCCGTCACGGTAAAAAATTTTTGCGTAATAAATTTTTGACTTGTCTTAGATTAAACGATTTTACCCGTCACTCGTTGACTATTGTTTAATTGTTTTATAAGATATTGGGTGTTGAATGAAAAAATCCGCATAAAATGAATGAAAAAATCATTTTATCCGCATAGTAGTAAATAACATAATATATAAATAACAACACAATACCGACGGCCATAAATTAAACTAATTTCTATTTTTATAATCTTTTCTTTCACTTCATATGAACTTTTTCTCAATATTCTTTGTCGTCCTTGGTGTACAATAAACTAATATTTTATATAGAAATTTGCTACTTAATTCCTGGTAGAGTGAAAGATAGAAGTAGTCGAGTTAAAAAGTTAGCATAGAGTAAGCGGACAGGATTACACATGATGTTAGAGAGTGCAATTTGCTACTAAATTTCTTGCGGGTTTGTTTATATTATGAATGATTAGTAATTAACAAATTTAATTATATTTAAATTCGGCCAAGATTGCTTGTGGGTTTGTATTTCTTTTTAAGATTGCTTGTGGGTTTGTATTTCTTTTTAAATCTTTTTTTAAATACTTTTTTTTTTTTAATATTTTTTTTTATAAAATTGAAAAAGTAACTTACTAAGTTATGTTAACTTTGTTTAATATCAATATAAAAATATATTACACATGTGGGAGGACGCGGGTTGCGATGCAAATGAAATATTTGTACTTTATGTTATTTTACTTTTATATAAAAAAAATTTTATCCTTTAAAAAATAGTATTCCGCTCTTTTAATCAGCAAATGCTCCGTTTCTTTAGGATAAAAAGCTTGACTTAATTACAAATGTCTTGACAAACGGATTGCTAAATATCGTAACTCTCTGTAAAGACTCAAAAGTAGAAAAATAAAATATAGCAAAAACATTTGCTCAAAATATAATCTTTTTGTACTAAAAAGTAGAAAATAAGCTTTTTAATTTAAATTTAATAGTTCAGTAGACTAAAGATTGATCAGTAAACTAAAGATTGATTTAGGGTATGTTTCTATTCTATTTTATATATGTTTCTATAAGGTTTCTATTCTATTTTATATATGTTTCTATAAGGTATGTTTCATTTAAGGTATGTTTCTATATAAATCTTGTGCAGACCTGTCAACCTTTAGTTTACTAAACTATTAAATTCAAATTAAAAAGCTTATTTTCTACTTTTTAGTATAAAAAGGTTATATTTTTAGCAAATGTTTTTTATTTTATTAAATTTATATTTTTGTTGATGAAAAGCTCTATTTTATTTTTGTTGATGAAAAACTTAAGTTAAAAAATAAGTAAAACCATGCTATAATACTACTTTATATGCATTTATAATTATGTTTATTTTAAATACTAAACATTTAAGATTACTTAAAATTAATGTAATATTTTGGCTGAATGTCTTACATATCTTTCACAATTATATGATATGGAATCAAACAAAACAAACCCGATTTCATATATCAACAGATCTAAAAACCCACACTTGCAGAAAGTTAACATTCACATAACACAACACTTAATGATGTTGCATAATACTGGTAGGAACAAAACATCAGAACCTGAAGATGTAAATAACCTCGTTGTGTCAGATTTTGAACCAAACAACAATAGTCTGCCACAAAGTAATCCAGCAATGAATGACAACAAGACTTTGCCGAAATCATATGTTGGATCATATGTTGTAGAGCTTTTAGGTTTTTTTTAGTACTTTGTAGTTTAGCGATTCTTAGATATTGTTAACTAATATCAAAGAGATAGAGGGTAACATTTATAATTGTAGAGGGTAGAGGGTAACATTTAGAATTGCACACCAAAATTTATTATCTATTGATAATATTATATAACAAGTTAAACTTTTTATCAGTTGGCATGACAGCAATATTTTTGGTAAACACGTAAAAATATTTCATAAAAAAATTATTTTATAACATCAAATAAAAAATATATATATATATATATTTTCTTAAGATGTGTCAAAGTTACAACACTTCACATTATAATTTAACAAATAAACAAAAGAACAAGGTTAAGGATGTGTTTGGTTCAATTTTTTTAATTCAATTAAAAAACCCGAAACCCTTGATTCGGTTTAAAGTTATTATAATTAGTTTAATCTTTAGTTCGATTTCATTGAAAAATAAAATATCATTTTTAGAGATTTTTTTATATTTACAATTTTTTAAAAATACTAATGACTTATTTTCCAAAACGCAACTAAAATCTTATTTTGAACTTGACAAAGTTTTCTTTGACACAAACAATCGTCTAAACATTGTTAACAGCCAGCGTTGTCACTCAGCGTACCCCCTCTAGTAGTAACAAAATAAACGGCAGTAGAGACTGTTGAAATTCTTTAAAGGTACAAAATTTGCTTTTATACCTAAGTATTTTTATTCATACATAAAAAGATTTCGAATCTGTAACTTCATTACCTTCCACTACTCAATAATGTTTCTTTACTATGTTAACATTTATACAATGGCTAACCTCTAAAAGCCAATTTAGATGGCATAGAAAACGATGTGCACAAACCTTGTTTGAGTTTTTGTTAAATGGAGTAAAGACAAAGACTTTCTTTTTCTTCACTCCATTTCTTTTCTGTTACTCACTAGAGCTTTTTTAGATGTTTTTTTTCTATTTTCTTGAGTCAATATTTTTTAATTTCTTTTAAATATTTATGTTTTATTAAATATATACCTGTGTAACGTGGGTCTCGAAAACTAGAAAAACATTAGTAGCTCAATACCATTAGGAGGATACTTTACTTTCTCCTATTATCAAGTATACTAATACTTATTTTGGTTTGTTCTGGTATTGTTGTTGGCCAAAGTGGCTTTTGATGCAAGAAGTAAAATTCAGATATGACACATGTACTCAGAACTCCATGGCATTGTATAATGAATGATAAGCTTTCTAGTGACCAAGTTCTTTAACGCATCTTGTAGTTTGGTGCTCTACTTGGTTAAAGTATATGTTTGCAATAAAAAAGATTCACTGCAACTGCTACCTCTTATGTGTCTGCCAGTGAATGGTGAACAAATAATAACATTTACCAATTTAAAATTTGAACTGATGTAGTAAAGTGTGATACTTATTTACAAATACTTTAATTCAACTTTTCCAAAAATCTGTTGTAAAAATAATTCCAGATACTTCAGGAAAACCTGTGTCAATTTTTTATTGCAAGTACTTCTTTACCTTTTTGGGCATTTTTAGAAATTTTTGTCTTGATGTATGCTTGTCTTGATATTTTCTTTTCTTCTTAATATGAGAATGCAGGAAATGCATCTTAAGAGATACATTTGCTTCAATGACCTCATAGTCCGTTATAAGTTTTTTGACCAGTTCTTTGTAGTCGTCCGATTTTCTGTTTCCAAGAAACCCATCAACAACGGCCTTGAATGAGTTCCAAGTTGTCTGTTGCAAATCAATCAACTTCAAAGTAAAAATGGAGTCATTCATTACAACATTCCTAGTTTGAGGTCCTGTAAAGACTCCTTTCTATAATTTTGGCATCACTCATCCTTAGAATTGTCTCTTTAGGTACTGAAAGGCATCTGAGTTGCATTTAATAGCTTTCACAAAAATTTTCATCAATCCAAAATTGATCTGAAGGTAGGAGGTAAATTTTGTCTTGCTGGGCTTGTGGAATGTACATCACATGGTGTTTCTAGGACAAATTCAGATCTCACCGGCCACTGGTTCTGTGGATAATGCTGCTTATAATCACAGCTGCTCCACAAGCACAGAAAGCAGCAGTACTTTGTGTAACCATTTTGCATGCTCATCACTACCCCAATAACTTTAAATTCGGCACAAATATTCCAGCCAAATTTTCTATGGTTAATTTTAAGTGTTTACAATTTTTGTGATCGAGTGTTTTTTTTTCTTTGAAGAACAGGAACCGTAAGTTCCTGTTCTTCAAAGAATTCTGAAAGATTCGCACTTCGCTTTCTAAAAACAGTTACCATCGTGCCCTTTGACAAGAAATTCCATTTTTGAAGACGAGGCGCTCATTTCTTGTTTTGGTCTCCAAGATTTATATATTAAGTAAGCATTATAAGCAAACTTGACCAAAGAGGTTGGTGTTATTCTTTCTGTTGGTGATATTCTTTCTCTGTGAATTTTCGTAGTAAATAACCCACAAACATAATAAAAACTGTCAGGATGACAATTCTGTGTCAGGCAACTTTTCAAACGAACTATAGTTATTACTTTAACTTAACACCTGTAATAAATTTGTAATCAGAGCTAATTTTTAATTATTGACTTATAAAGCTCCACTTCACTGACAAAACACTTAATAAAAGTTAGTTAAATATCAAAGTGTTTTCTTTTGCGGCCAACAGCTGCTGATATTAGCTACTTTACATTAGCCTTCATCGTTAACCAATCTTAACAGGTTCTGATATTATTATCAACTGATATTTACAGATTCTGATATTATTATCAACCAAAATGTGCTATGAAAACAAGTTCTAACCCTATTCTAAGGTGGGAACCTGCAACGACAGCAATAAAGTTAGCTGCATGATAAATGACAACATCACTTGTTGCATGGCGAAAATATAATGCAATGCATAAGTTATAATGTAACATAACTCAAAATCTTGACGTGCTAAAAATATTCTGACTACATATTTGAAATCAGCAGTATTAATGAATATAAAATCACCTAATATCTTATAAGTTGCAGAAATGTATTACACAGTGTTATCTAAAAAACTTCAAAAAATAAACCTAGCATTGACAAGTCTAAGGGGTCGTCCATAAATTTCATCATGCTTTAGGGCGGGAGGGTTTAATGGTTTTGTGACTCATACGGAACTTGTTACTAAAGAGATACAATGTTATGACGAAGGAGGGGGGGGGGAGTATCTAAAACGGTCGAAAATTGCGTGACGTAATTTGTGATCAACTCCTAAGTAAACTTCAATGCAAATCTAATTTCGGACAAATTTAATCAACTTGCTTTAAAACAGTGACGTTTCGAACTTATATTTGCTCTGTCGTGGTTCGCAATGATGATTCCGTTTTCGAGGCACAATCACTGATCTCTATAATAACATAATTTTATTATATATATATAATTATTATAGAGATCAGTGGGCACAATGAACTGTGATAACGAAAAATAAAGTTTATTGCCGTTTGCAAAAAAGTTTTTAGAACAATAAATTTTAAAGCGAAAGTTCATGAACCCGAAAAATGAATGTTCGGGAAAAAAAGAATTTTTAAAACTAAACAAAATTGACAAATGTATTTTAAAAAATTATAATGAAAAAAAGGAATAATTGAGAAACAAATTTTTTTTGGTTTTTGTAGTACACGATTATTGGTTGTATAAATAAGAAATATAAATTCAATATTTGTGCAATAGTTATCAACTAACGGAACCTATTCATTTAGTATATAAGTTTCAAAGGCCGTTTTTGTTGATTTTTTTCATCTGTTATGTTATTTTGTAGCATAAAATGTAATTTTAAGATAATAACTTTCAAAAAATGTTGATGCTAAAATTTACCGATTTAAAATTTCAATTCACTCTTTAATTTTGTGAACTTTTATGTTGTCATTTTAGCACATATTATGTAACTGTTCTTATAAACAAAAGAACTTTTTTAAAATTTATTAAAAACAAATGTTCCTTGAAGTTGTAAAAGGTCATGTCATAAATGCTATTTAAGATTGAGTTAAGGCCATCAAAAGAAATATCAAGAATAAAACTATTTATTGTTTTTACTGTTATTTTTGTGTGTCTCAAGGAAACACCTGGGAAATTTGTAGCTACTAATCTATTAAGATGTTTCTTGAGTGTTACAAAAAAAGTTCAGATGATAATTCAAAATATTTTGTTTGTTTTACCACTTACTTTTGGATTTAGACGAGACTGCATATAGTGTTTCATTTAATTAATGATTTTTATTTTGTAAAGTTTACAAAATATCTGTTAACATAAATCATATTATGAAGTTTGATTAGTTTCTGAAACAGTAATTCCTATTGTCAAAAGAGTTTTAAGAGTTCTCTACTGTGTACCACAAGTTTCTGACGGTTCTAAAATTTAACAAATATTTCTGATAACCCGCATTGTTTTTCAAATAACCTACATTTGTTTTCAAATAACTAGTAAATGATCAATTTATTAGTTATTTGAAACATAATGATCACATTGTTTAATGTAATTTCTATATATTTTAATAAATTTTGTATAATCAGTTATAATACTACTTGTAATTATTATAGGCAGTATATAACATATAATATAGTATATAACAAAATTATCTACAACATGCAACAGAATATTTAATAAGAGTAAAAAACTTGTTGTTCTTTTTCAACACCTATGAATCATAGATGTTGAAAACATTCACCCATAATATCATTGCATGATATTATAATAATATTATGCAATGATATTATGGGTGAATGTTTTCAACACCAATGATTCATAGGTGTTGAAAAAAAAGCAGCAAGTTCTTTACTCTTATTAAATATCCTGTTGCATGTTATAGATAATTTTGTTTTAAATTCAGAGATAAAATTAAAATCAATTTTAGGAGGAAAAACATTCATAATTTTGAAACATTTGGACAAGAAATAGAAAAGTATTGATTTATATTAGTTGGGAAAGACTTTGTTTCATGTCACCTTGTATGAGATGCTTTTGTAGTGTTGCTCATAATTATAAGTTGTAAAAGATCATAAATTTCTGACTTGAATATTGCATTTTATATGTTTACATTTATCTAGTTTAACATATTTGTCAGAGTCTATTTGTATTTATTATCTGACCGTTTCGCTTTCCTTTTAGCTAAAAGATATATATTTTACTGCTGGAATTTGAATTTTAGGATATATATATATATATATATATATATATATATATATATATATATATATATATATATATATATATATATATATATTCTTCTCATTGAAGTGATTAATAATAACATGAGACTACTTTTCTTTTTCTTTTTTTTTTTTAATTTTTTAAAATCAAATTACTTTGTAGTTTTAAAACAGTTCTGCAAATCAAAATGATTTTGGTTTAATAATATAGTTTTTTAAAATGTCACACTTAAGCAGTGCTAGAGTTAATTTAGCTCAATTCAGAGAAGCAACACGTCGCAATTTATTGCTTTGTCTTGATAAATGTGTTGGTAGCAAGGTATTGTCTGATTTTTAACTTTTTTTTTTCCAAATTTTAATATTTGTAACTCATTTAAAAAAAGCTTATTTTTGTTAAGAGTTTTTGGTGTTTATTTTTAGGCAATTATTTGGGATGATAAGCTAACGGGAACTGTTAGTCTTATTGCTGAGTACAGTTTACTAAAGGTACTATATTAAATATTGTTTGAATAAATTCTGCAAGTTTTTAAAATGTTTTAAATTTTTAGTTTTGAATTCTGCCCTTTGAATTGGTTTTGTCATAAACACACAAGTGAAGATATATAAAATGTAGACATAAAGAAAATTTTTATATGTTCATAAAAATTTATAGCTCAAAATTTCATAGAAGTTTGTAGTAAAGTGGCATAGTAATATGAGTTTTTCTTTCAAAAATTGGAACTTGTTATAACTTAAGGGTATGTTTGTTAATAAATCTAGCGTCAACCATAAGGTAAAGTTTGTTTGTCAATAAAGTTAGTTTCAACTATACGGTGAAACATGTATCTTAATAAATTTAGCTATGACCCTAAGGTTACTTATGTTTCTGAATAGAGTTTAATAAAGTTAATAAAACTTTAACCCAAGCTTAAGTTTTCTTAAAGATCTCTTTTCTAAATATCAAAATGCTCTTAAGTATGTAGTTTCTGTGTTTTTAGTATATTTTTTTTGTGTATATATATATATATATATATATATATATAAACAAATAAAAAAATACCATATAAAATTAGGTTTACTAAATTATCTTGTTTAGTGTTTTTTTGTTTTTTGTTCAGGTGATAATTTCTCTGATAATTAGAATTATCTTATATTGACACTAAATTCTTTAACACACAAAAGTTGCAAGTAATAAGTTAAAAAAGTTTAAATTAAGTATCAGTCTTGACATGACTTATTTTGAGCTTGTTGTAAAGCTGCTATAATAAATATTACTATTTTATATATATCATGAGCTTATTTCATGCACTATTTTCCCCAATAGTTTTATCTATCAAACTTCATTCTTCAGAGTTGCAGGCTAAATCAAATGGTTTGAATTGATTGTTTTGAAATAAACACATAGGTGTGAAGTTCTAACCATTTTGGTTAACTATAAAACTTGTTTTTTATTGTGCTAAATTTTTGTGATGAATTTCAAATTGTTTAAATAGTTTTTTAAAATTGATTTTGAAGTTGTTTGCTTTAGGAACATGAAGTTGGAAAAATGTTTACACTGGCTAAAGGTAAATTGCCCAATTGCGAAGAACATCATTTGGTTTATTTTGTCCGACCTAAGCTTGAAACTATGAAAATTATTGCTGAAAACATCAAGTAAATGTTTACATAAAACACTTCACTAAACCTTATTTGTAGTTATTGCTAATAACACTAAATGTTTACACAAAACACTTCACTGAATTTTATTTTTTGTCAAAGTTATTACGGTAGTTATTTGTTTTACTGGTTTTGTACTGGTTTTATGCTAAAAATTATTGCTGAAAATAATTATATTTTTGTGGATATAAATTACTGTTTCACTTTAAGAGTTTAATTTCCAGGGATTAAACAGTTAATAGATGTTGGTATCACTTTAGTATGACTGGCATTTCTTCTTATGATAAAAATCAATGTACCAGATAAAATATCTTATGTTTGGTTGTTCTTTAGGCATGTTTTTACACATATCAGAAAGGGATATGTAAACATGATAAAAAGATTATATCGGATGTTTATTTTGCAATGGACAAAATTTATGCTTTTTATGATAGTGAAAGGTAGAATAGCAATAATTGATAGATAATTGAAAAAGACTTAAAGTAGAAGACTCAGTAAGAATATTTATAAATAAAAGAATATGAATATTTGATAAATTTTGTTTAAGTTAGATTTTTCACATTAGTAAATAGAGCCATTTTAAAGATAAGATTGTTGTGTAAGAAAAATCACTATTGTAGATGTGAAATAATGTGGTACCTGATAATATTGCTGTGGTAAGTAAGTACTTTACCACAGCAATATTATCAGCTTTGCATCATATTTGGATCAAGTCTTCTAATGATGCTCATTCCCATTTGGGCAAAGCAGATTAACTTATTTTTATTGTAGTTAAAGCTGTTTCAGCAGCCAATCCTGATCCTCTGTCACATGTTCTAAGCTCTTTTTTTAAAATACTGAGGTTCTTGCCACTTTTATTTGTTTAGTTTTTTGACTTGGAGAAATGAAAAAGTTTAGTGTATAATAATAATATGTATAAAAACCAATTGAACTTCTTTGTTTTTATGATTAATTGACTTAAAGATTGATCAAAAACCTTGGTTAGTAATAATAATAATAAATTTAACAGAGTATCGGCTTTCAATTTGAGCATCTCAATCTGGGTACCTCAAATCTCAATATGGGTACATCTGAATATTTTGAGTTTAGATTATTAGACCTTTACAAGATCAAAAGTTATCAACAAATATGAAATTTCATCAATAATATAGTTAAAATGGCATTATATTGTAATACCATGTACAGTGGACAAACTCCCCAAAATGAGGGAAAATGAGGAAAACTTCCTGCAATAATTATACTATCTGATGAATTTTTAAATATAATTATCAATTTTTATCTTGTCTAAGGTAATGCTGTTGCTACTTGTTTGTTAAAAAGTAGTTTCTCATAACAATATACATCAAATTATAGATATTATTAAATATAAAATATATGAATAAAAATAAATTGATTTTATTTAAGCTAAACTCTAAAATTCATTCAGCTTTGAAGCTTAGTTAAAAATTTACCGTTCTTTCGCTGGATGTTGACGTCGGCTGAATTGTTTTAAGAGCAGCATCAATTTTATTTAAATTCGATGTTCAAACTCCACCTGCTTCAAACTCCCTTGATATCTCTGAAAATGGATCAGAACAATTAATCTTTGGTTGGAAAGAAATCATCTTTGTTAGGTACAGTTATTGTTGTAACTGTGTTTTAAGGTTATTATTGGCTTCTTCAGCAACATCTTCATCCAATGATTTGACACTGAGACTATCCTATACTTTGATAAAATTTTGTTCAACTATATTTTTTGCATATTGAATAATTGCTGACTTTGATGAATGTTTGAAGCCATCATTATTTTGTGATGTATTTGAGTAATATCTCATTAGGGACAAATATCTCATTAGTGACACTAAATCTTTAAGTGTTGCTCATCGCTTTTTGAGGGAATCTAGCATAACTACACTTAAATTAAACATTTTTTCAGAAAGACTTTTGAACAAAAGCATGTGAACACCTTCACTGGTCAGAATAGTTGAATTGTTCATACTTATTTACTAATTTATTTCTAATTAGCTCCTTAATAGCCAATCCAATAGATTTTAACACTTTTAAAATATTTTCTAAAACTTAAAAATCAATTTCCTCATAAAAACTATTTGTTACAATGTCAATAACTGCTTTTTGAATGCATGGTTTCAATTTTACCAACCTTTCAATCATGGGAACCAAAAAATTCCACCGAGTTTTAACATCAAGTTTTTTATTTTCTTGTTCAAAAACATGCTTTTGCAATATGGAGATACGAACGCTTGACAATTTAAAAAATTTGATCAGTTTACAAGATTTATTCAATACAGACTTGATATCATTTTGAAATAATCTGTTTCTACTTCCAGGAGCAGTTTTTTCTATGATATCATTAAAAATGTCACTGCGATTCAATCTCTTAAGATAATAATTGTCATTATAATCAGAATATGAATCATTATCTTCTTCCAAAGTAAGATTAAAAAGAAGTTCTTCAGAACCGTTTGCATTATTATATTCATTGGCATCTTCTTCATTTGATTCGTCACTCGAACATGTTCGGTCATCGCTGGTACATTTTTTTTAGAAATCATCGCTGATCATGGTCATCGCTGGTACAAATTTTTGTAGAAAATATTGTTTAGGGCCAGATAAATGCTGTGATTGTGGCAGAGTTAACTCTCTGCAGGAATTATCCATATTTTTGCATTACTGCAGCATCATCGTGAGTAGACGCAATTATGTATGAAAAATCTAATCCAAATTCTGTCAATTGTAAAAGCATGACAGGAACCATCAATTTTAACAAGACCTAATTTATAAGCAACTTTATTGTGAAAAGTTACATTTATATACCTTTTAATGGAGATCTCAGTCCATTCATCTGCTGTTATGCTGAACTTTTCACCATATTTTTTCAATACAAAGTTTCATCACGCAGCTCTTGTTTTTTTATCTCGTAAAAAGACATTATTAGTTTTGCGACTTTTTGGCATTTTGGAAACCATCTTTCTGAATAAACTCGCATATTCGATCAGATTTTGTAATTGTTCTTAAAGACATATCATCCTTTGAGGCACATTTTGCTACCAATTCAGCCAAGGTTTCGCATTTAATGAATTCGTCAATTTTTATTTGTTTTTTCGGAATATCTGCAACAAATGTTTCATCTAACTTCTTATTTTTTTATATTATACTATGGATAGTTCTCATGTGGGTAATCAGACCAGATGTGCTTGAACCTTTGCATTTTATGAAAAAATTGCTCAAGGTACATTTTGCTTCAGAAGTGCTTTGTTTTGGCATGTTTTTTTTATTTTTTTATTTTTTGTACTTGTTTTTTATTGGTATATTTAAATTTTTTATATTATATATAAAGTAAAGTAAACTTAACACAAATAAAGTTACATTACTTCTGTATTTATTATATAAGTTATTAATATAAGTAGATATATTAAATATTATAATTAAAAGTATAATTTTTATAATGCTAAACAGTTTATTGTTTCTTATATATAAACTATTATTATAAAAACTTTAAAATAACGCTGTAACAGCTGTAGCATTAACTTAAAAACTTTAGGTTAACGCTACAGCTAATATACACCTTCATTCATAAACTTCTTCATGCGGAAATAATGTCCAAGGGAATTGTAATGTTGCAATTGTTAATATTTTTCCGAAAATAATTATACAAGTTGTTCAAGGGGAATTGTAGTGTTGTAATAATTACAATGACAAAAAGTAACTAATCAATAAAATATTTTTACAAATTTGTAGTTTGCAAACAGCATAACAAAATAACTTCATTTTTTGTCATTCATTTACAAAATTTAAACATAAAAACTGCATTAGTGCAAATTGCTTTCTTTATTAAGTTCAAATTATTAAAATTTTAAAAACCGAAAAAAAGCGGTATTGGGAAAATTTTTTCGGTATTGGAAAAATTTAGCTAAATACCAGTTTTCAATACCGATATTGAAAACTGTAGAAACTCTATCTTGAATTATCTGTAGCACTAGCAAGACTTTTTGACAGTGATACCCTTAACTTGATAAAAAAGAATTGGTTTTCATTATTATGAATAAAAGTTTAACTCTAATAGACTTTATAATCTAATAGATTTTATTATGCCTTTTTCCTAATTTTTCTCCTTTTAATTTTTTTAGCTAGATGTTTGTTGTATATAAAACATTCTGGAGCTATATCACCTGTTATGGAGAAAATAATTTTACCTAAGACTTTTAAAGGCAAACAAGGGCACATTTAATGACTTCATGATATTCAAAAACCAAATAATTTTTTGAATAAAGTGTTTATACACCTTAACACTCGAGGGGTGGTCAGAGGGGCAGCCCTGGTTTTTTATGGTGTATAAACACTTTTTCAAAGTTTTTTCCAATATAGTACCAACTTTGTTGCATCTAAAATCACTTTATCACATGAAGACTTATTTTAAAGTTGTAAAGTTTTATAAATTTTTTTTTTTTTATATATTATTTTATTATCTACACACAGTTTGAAAGTTCTGTAAGTAATACTAATGAAATGCCCCAAAAAAGATATTTTGGAAGGCACATTTAGAGATCCATAGCAAGTGATTTTGAAATCTTTCTTAATTGTCCGTGAAACTTTTTTCACTTTTAGTTTTTTTTCACTTTTTTTAAATTTTCGCCTGATAGGTTTGGTTTAAAAACTTTGTGCCACAAAAAAAAGTAATAAAATAACAAATGTATAGTAACTCTTTGTTTCAAAGATGACAGAGTCATCTTTGGCAAGGATTCTTCCTTTGGCAATCTGTGACAGCTGTAGAATTCAACTTGGAAAACTGGAAAGAGGACAGATAAAGACAGTTCCTCAGCTTTTTAATTTTGAATCAATTTTGATAAAGCCACCAACAAGACTGACTACAACATGTGGCTGCTTAATCTGTCAAATTGGGAAACTGAAAGCCTATGAAAAACATCTTTTGAGCAACCTCAAGCTTATGGCAGGTAAAACTGATGAAGCAGCTAAGTAGCGTTGTGCAAATTGCTTGTCAGTTGTTGTAAATTCAATCTCATAGCAGCAGGCACTCTTGCTGTTGGTTGGACATTGAGTTATCAAATCTCCATTACTGTGGAAACCTGATAACTTTTGGTGGCATAAGAAGTAAGCAAAAAGAGTTTGTCAGCTCAGGTGCCAATTTGAGAAAATCAAATGTCTTCCAAAATGTGGTGCATCTTTTACTGTTGGAGTTTCCAGACCAAAAGCTTATTTTAGAAGCTATTCCACCAATGAAGCTTCATATGTTACTAGGTGTTGTGAATCATCCAGTGAAACTTCTGATTGATCTTTGGCCTGCTCCAAAGGAATGGCATTGTATATTCCACTTCAGTCATACCATGGTGGTCATTTCAATGGCAATGATTGTATGAAGCAATGATTGTATTGAGAGGTTTGGGCAAGTTGCAGCAGCTTGCTGATACTGCCAATTTAAATCAGGCCATTCCCTTCATTCAAACATTGTCTCATTTTGGAGATGTGGTTACTGTATGCTTTGACACTCAGCTGGATCCAGACTTTGAGTCAAAAATTATGAAATTCAGAAACAATTACATCAAACTCCTAATTTCTATCACACCAAAAGTACATGCTTTTTTTCATCATGTGCCACAATTCATCAAAATAAAAAAGACAGGACTTGGTCTCATCAGTGAACAAACAACAGAAGTTCTACACTCAAACTTCAAAACTCACTGGGAGAGATACAAAAGAGGTGTTAAGCATCCGGAATATTCACAACAACTTCTGAGATGTATTGTTGATTATAAATTTAAGTAGAACTCCAGAACTGTTTGAGAATGTGTTTTTGTTGCTTTTTGTAAGTCATACTAAACAATATTTGTCATATATTTAGAGAAAATATAGTTAGAAAATAAAATTTTAAGAGTTGTATACTTGTTTTTAATCTATCATAAATAACTTAACTCGGCTATGTTTTTATTCATTTTTAATAGAAGTACTTTTTATTTTTCAAGGTCTAAGGACCTATTATTATTTTATAATTTATTTTATGGGAAAAACTTTTGACCCTCATTTTGTGGAAAAAACAAAACCTATCACAGGCGAAAATTATAAAAAGTGGAAAAACTTAAAGTGAAAAAAGTCTCACGAACGGTTTGGAAAGATTTCAAAACCAGTTGCTATGGACCCTACATGTGTCTAGGATCACCTCCTAAAAATTTTGTTTTTATGGTATTTACTTAGTATTACTTTCAGAATTTTCAAACTATGTACATGTAAAATGTTTTCAAAGGATAAACTATTTCAACTTTTCCGCTTGTGACACATGCTTAATTTTGTATATGAACATGTAAATATAATTTCAAATAAAAATTACAAACAAGTATAAGTTATCAGTTTTTAAAAAATAAACCAGTTTATAATAAGTAATACATGTAGGTTGCTGTTTTATAAGTGTTGTTTTGTTTTAAGATGTAAACACTGTGCTGTTAAATATTACTTTCATTGCAACAATTTTTTTAAATACATTTATATGTTTGTTTTATGCATTCTCTTGTTTGTTTTATATATTCACCTGTTTGTTAGAGAAGAAAGAGCAAAAGGATCTTTAAAAGACTTTCACATTTTTTTTGTTCCGAACAAGAGCACGCTTTGTGAGAATAAATTAAAAGTATGGTTTATGCTTTTTATTTTATTCATTATTTTGTACATTATTTTGAAATTTATCTTTGATAATAATTACTTTTAGGAACTCAATGTTTATGCAGAATTTTCCACTATAGATAAATTTGATATAAGTTTAATTCCATTTGAAAACGATGTATTATCACTGGAACAGGATAAAGCATTTTATGTGAGATTTTTTGCATTAATTTATTTTATTACTAAATACTATTTGGTTTGTTTTATCTAAAAAAAATTAATTTATTTGGTATAAAATATTTTTTTTAGGAATGTTATGTGGAAAATGATTTCACCACTTTGCATCAAGTTGCAAATTCCTTAATGACACTTCAAGCTTTGTATGGTGTGATCCCACATATACTTGGAAAAGGAGAAATGTCAGCTGTGAGTTATTTACACTTTGATAATAATCTGGCTGGAAAAACGAATGAGAGTGCTCTTTAGGTGAAAAGCAATTTCTTCAAAATAACTCCTGATAAAATTAACAACTTTTTTTTTGAAAGTTTTTTATATTTTTTTATTTTTTATCTTTTGTTTGGAAGTCTGGTTTGCAAAAATAAAGTGAGCATAATATATTGTTAGTACTGTGCTGTGTGTGACTGAGCCAACTTAATGCCCAATAAAAAATCATTATCTATATAATTTAGTTCGAGAAACAAAAAGCCATTTAAATCTAAAACTGCAGTAGAATGATTTTGATTCTTAAAACAAAAAATAAAAAGAAAACAATGACATAATATCCTGTGTTTAATTAAAAAAATAGGAATTTTAATTTATGTCTTCATTAAGAAACCATTTTGTTTTTATGTAATAAGTTACCTTTTTTATGTAAAATTTTTTTTTATGCTTTTCAATGAAACATAATTTGCATTTTTCTAGTTTTTTACAATGTTTTACTATTTTTAGTTAACAAAGTTTATTACTTCAATTTCCTTAGATAATGTTGTTTTATTATTTTTTGATTTTAAAGTATTTAGTATGGTTGTCATATCTAAGTTTGATGTCTTTCTAATTCCTAAATAAAACTTTTGCCTCAGCTACAATTTTTTTGTTTGAAAAGCAAATAACTATGTCAAACATAATCATGTATTAAAAAAGTATTAAAAATCAAAAATCTTTTAAAAAATGTTTTTCAAAAAACATTGTGAGCTAGAGTTATTACAGAGTAAATGTGAGAGGATTGATTTTTTTTTTTAAAGAGTTCTTTTTATTTCAGGGTGATTTTAGTTATTATTTTTTGTTAGTCTGGTAATTTCAGGTTATTTTAACACTTTAACTTATTCTTGTTTCTTTAATTTATTCTTGTTTCTTTAATTTCGGAGCACAAAAGTACTTTTGGTAAATTGACTTTAAATGAAGTTTTTTTCTTTCTTGAATTAAGGTTGAATTAAATTGATTATTTCAAGTTCTAATATGATTACTGCATTTATCTGCAAATATTACATGCTCACTGAGTTTTGTAGAGGCATCATCAATGCAGTTTATTGGTTCACAGTGAACATTTGACTGACCACTGTTGCTTTTAATTTTAAATAAAAAATATGTTTATAGTTCTTTTGATATACTGCAAACTAACATAAAATAACAATAGTAAATAATAATAATATATATATTTCCCGACTTCACTTTTCTTCTCAAAATAAATAAAAATTATATATATAAAAGTTTCCTAAAAGCAGATGCCACAAGCACCACTGAATTTACTGATTTGATAAAATAATTTAGCACAAACGTTTAGTTTCACATTTTTTTAGACGTATGTAGAATTTGGACATAGAAGTAACAATAAAGTTGATTTTTAGAGAAAAACCATTGAAAATCTGAGCGCTTTGAAGAGTTAAAGCAATTTTTGCTGTTTTAAATTTTTTTAATTAAATGTTTTTTAATTATAGCAAAATTTGTCGTTTTCAAAATCATGGTCAAAAACAACATCATTTTTTATTATATTTTTAAATATTATTTTTTAAATATTTGGTATTGCACTTTTTATTTCTTTATATACTTTTCCTTCTTTTTTTAATTTTATCCTCTTAATATATAATGTATAAAAAAATCTAATAATATAACAATATTTTTTTAATTAGTTTGTTAAGTAAAATCGATAAGATTTTTTAGAAAGTTACTGAAATAATGTTGCGCAAGCGTAAAGAAATGGTGGACTATGAATCTCACATAACACCACTTATTGATAGACTCTTACTTATTGACCGCAACATTGATTTGATTACACCATTGCTATCACAACTTGTATATGAAGGGCTCATTGATGAAATTTTCAAGATTGAAAATAGTAAGTGCTTTATGAATTGTTATCTTTTATTTAATTTGTGTTAAAATGATTTTATAATTAGTGGCACAATTAAAATAACTTTAGTGCACAATTAAAATAATTTTAGTAAAACAAGTTGTTTCTCAGTTTTAATTTTGTTTGCCACACTTGAAAGGAGTTTACAACTGTATTGCAGAAATAATTACTAGTAATAATCAGCCTATTTCAATTATGGAAGTTTTATTTTTTAAACCATGTATAATAAAGTTAATTCAACAAAAATTTTCAAGACGTTAATCCATTTAGTTTTTATCTGATGGTTAAACCACTACCATTCGAAATGGCTTATTATTATGATTTTTTTTTATTGGCTAATCAATAAAAAATCAACAGTTTTTTAAGTCAGCTCAAGATATCTCATATTGCCAAAGATATTAGTGGAGAAATTAGAAATTCATTTATTATTTATTAATTCTTCAAAAGTGTATTGAGTTGTTATTCATGCTGTTACTATAATAGATAAAAATTAAAAAAGCAAGTTATATTTTTTCATTGTTCCTTTTACATATATTTACATATTTATCTTGGTTAATATCAATACCATTGAAAGTTGAGTCATTCAGCTAAAGGATTAGATAATTAAATATGGCAACAACAAAAAAAATGAAGCAACAAAAACTTTAGATCTTTTAATCATTTCACTTGTGTCAAGTTTAGAGAAAATATCAAATTCAAAGTGCCTCAAAAACAAGACAAGCTTCAAACAAGATAACAACCACAATGTGTCATGAAATGATTTTTAATTCGTACCTCTTTTCTAATAAAAAACCTTTAGGGGTATGATAGTACAAGTATGTAAGAGTACATTAGAGTTGGTTTTGAAATCTTTTATCATCATGTGAAAGAAAAATTGGTTTGAAATTTTTGATTTCATTCCTCTGAACATTTTCTATTAAAAACATTTGAAATTTGTTCTAACATATTTATTCTATAAATAAGCAGTGTACTTACAACTTAGAAACAACAACAAACAAAAAGCATTCAATTTCTTCAGAAAATTTAACAAATCAGATTCTAGATTTACAGATCAAGCAACTTAAAAAAAGAAAGGATTGCTCTAATTAAATATAGTTCCAAAAAATTGATGTTGAAGAGTAATTTCTTACATATCATATGTTATAATACAGTATTCAATACAAAGAAGTTTAAAGGAATGCTTGCTGTTGTAATCAATCAAACAGTTTAAAAAATTCTTAGGGTAGTCAGGATGATTACTGGATCTGCCTTTTGAACCATTGCCAGTGGTGATTAATGCCTTTTGAACTGCTGCTAGTGATGTTTAAAGTCATGTATATATGTATATATATATATATATATATATATATATATATATATATATATATATATATATATATATATATATATACACACACATATATAAATACTTTTTTTGTTTATAAGCTTTTTTCTCTCTTTTTAAATCATTTGTAATGTAATATTGTAAGTTATTCTATTTATATTCCAAAGTATATTGATTTTAATATATATTATTAAATATTAAATTAGTATTTGGAAGTTTGATAATGGTAATAATTAAATTTGTTGTAGTATTATTTACCAAAATGTTTAAAAGTAATAGCTGTAAAAAACTTTCAAGTTTTTAAATAAAATTTATTTTATTTAAAAACTAGATCAAAAAATCTGGGTTTTATTTAGATATTGTCTGCCTAAACTCTTAGCCTTAGTTGATGTATGTACTGAATTAAAAGGAACGATCTTTTTACAAAATTACAATACCAAGAACAAAAAAAAATGAATATAGGTTAAACTGAAAATAAAAAATGTATCATTTAATGAACTTGCAGTTAAATCATCAATCTTATGTATTGATCATTATTCTAATGAATGTATCTATATTGTATCCTGGTTTTACATTAATTAGAATAATGATCTATACATTAATCTAAAGATTGTATTATTAATCTAATGAACATATAATTATAAATCGAAATTTATTTCTTATATCAATGATAATTAATACTTTTTTCAACTATTATGTTTTAAATATTCTAAAGTTAACAGGTTTTTCAATGACTTTTTTATCTTATTAAGTTGTATCAACCTATTGTTGGTTAACAATTATTGTTGGTTATCAAAAACTATAAAAAAGTGGATTTAGATGTCAACTAGAGGCAGATTTGTATTGAAAAATAGATTTGAAAAATTTTGTGTTGGGTTGATAATATTATCATAAAAATTGGTTTTCAAGGATTATCACTGTATTTATTAGAGTTGGTTTGTTATAATATAAAAATTTAAAAGTATTTCTACTTACTGGTCATTTTGATTTTATTTTAATAAGTATTGTACTAAAATTAAAGTAAATTTTTTTGAAGTTTTCAAAGTAATTTAATTGTTTGATTTTATTATTATTATTATTTTACTTGTAATTTATAATGTTTGAATATTATTTTTTTCTAGAATAATACTATATATATCAAATTAATGTTAATTATTATGATATATCTATTGTGCTACAAAAAACCTAACCCAAGAATATTATTTAATTTTTAAGTTTTCTTTACACTATACACAAATCAGTAAAAAAAATTCAGGTGAAAGTAATGTTACTTGCTTGTATCTTGAATTAATTTTATTTTTTAGCTAACTGTCAGCTACCCTCTGATTGCATATCTAGCAACAAAGATAATCGACAACAGCAAAGTGATAATGGTACATCAAAAACAAAGGTTGCATTAAATTCTTCAGATAATCTTTTTGCTGAGCTTCGATCAATGAACTTTTCAGCTGTTGCTGCTGTACTAAGTCGTGAAGCTAAGCGTCTTGCTGCTGAACAAGAGGTTGTTTTTTTGTTTTATATGTATATATATATATATATATATATATTTATACATACATATATATATATATATATATATATATATATATATATATATATATATATATATATATATATATATATATATATATATATTTATACATATATATATATATATATATATATATATATATATATATATATATATATATATATATTTATACATATATATATTATATATATATATATATATATATGTATATATATATATATATATTTATACATATATATATATATATATATATATATATATATATATATATATATATATATATATATATATATATATATATATATGTTTATTTATACATGGATCTGATCTTATTACTCTTCTAAGAAATTTCAAAAAACTTTTCCTTTAATAAATCCCTTAAATCATCCTTGAGAAACATATATAAATATGTATATATAAATATTATTTTTTGCTATATTAAATTTTTGCTGGATTTTAGTTATCAGTATTGTTAGCATATAAAGTTGTGTTGTAAAAAAATAAAGACTTAATTGACTAAGAGTAGAATAATTTTAGTTTGATCGATCTTTTCTCTAATTTGTTTTACTGTATTCTATCCTATCAAAACCAGTACTTTTGTCAAATAATTGTATACCATGACAAAAACTATTGACAAAAGTACTGATGGTTGCACATCTGTACTTTTGTCAATAGTTGCTTGTTAAATGATTGTATATATTTTCATTAATTTCTTTAAATATCAAAGAAAACAAAGAATTGTTTTCTTGTTGCTTTCTTTGTTTTGTCTTGTTATTGATTTACTTTTTTGTATATTTTAAGTTTAAGAACATTTTTTGATTCAATGAAGCATTGCATTGTCTGCAATTAAGTTTTTTTTTTGTTTTTTTGTTTTTTTGGTTCTAAGTAAAGTCTTACGTAAGGTCTATATTTGATAACTTTGCTGTTTTTAAAATATGAGTATCTTTGATGTTTTTTTTCAACTTTTATTGTTACACAAAAATACAAATAAGTTTTTGCAGTTTTTTGTAGTTTTAAATTTTAGTTGCATTTATAAGTTTTAAGTTTTTAATGTAAATTTTTTCATTTTATTTTTCAACATCTCACTAATTAACAGCAATCATCTTTCTAATCATGGTCAAGCTCTAATTATCATCAGTTATTAGTGATCATCTTTCTTATCATGGTCAATCTCTAATTATCATTAGTTAACAGCAATTATCTTTCTTATCATGGTCAATCTCTAATTATCATTAGTTAACAGCGATTATCTTTCTTATCATGGTCAATCTCTAATTATCATTAGTTAACAGCGATTATCTTTCTTATCATGGTCAATCTCTAATTATCATTAGTTAACAGCGATTATCTTTCTTATCATGGTCAATCTCTAATTATCATTAGTTAACATTGATTATCTTTCTTATCATGGTCAATCTCTAATTATCATTAGTTAACAGCGATCATCTTCCTAATCATGGTTTATCTTTAGTTATCAGTAATCTTATTATCAATCATCTTTGTAATCTTTTTTTTTTAACTTAAAAGGTATAATGCTGCATGCACATCAAAAAATGTTTTAACTTTCAAATACAATCCAAATTTTTGTAGAATTTTTTTTTTTATCGTTTTATGGCCTTTTGTTCTTTTATCTTCAGTCACTAGTTTCAGCACCTTCGAAACTGTTACCCACTGATTTATCAAAAATGAGTATGTAGTTACTAAAAACGTTTTATGAAATATTGTACTTTATTTGTATGAAAAATGATGACTAAGTTGTAAATACATCAAAAAATTTTACTTTTTTAACTCCCTAATATGCTCACCCTCTATAGGGATTTCTTGAAACCTTTTTTATGTGCTAAATATTTTTGAATATTTTTACAACAGCTTTTTGATTATTTAAAGTAAGTCAAAAAATCATGTACTAAAATCCATATTGTTTTGCTTGCAGTTCATTTTATGCTTGTAGTAAAATGTAATACATTTGGCTTTAAATACTTTTTTAAATACTTTTTGAACTATAAGCTAAGTTTTGTTAATTTTCTATTTTTATTTTTTAAATATATAGGTTTGTTTGAATGTTTTACAAAATTTAGGTTTAAGTTTAAAAAACCATCTGAGATTCAAGCAGAGCTTTTTTTTTTTTTAATGGCTTTGATGCCATATTTTTTTTAACTGTCCGTAGTCATGGTATGTCTTTAATTTTCAATAAACTGTTTTTTTAGGAACATCGTACTGCTAAAACAGTAGGTGAAATGAAACAATTTGTGCATAAACTTCCACATATACAAGCAGCAAAAAAGTCCTTATTCTTGCGTAAGAAATAATTTTATTTTATAATAAACTTGTTGAAAGTTATTTTTTAAAAAAAGAGTAGTATTAGTATTGTTAATAGTTGTGGTAGTTGTAGTCATTGATGCATTTGATTTATGTGTTAAACATTGTTTTGCAAAAACTTCTTTTTTCCCTTTTTACAAAGTAATGGAACTGAAAGATTTACCATTCAAAGAAATTTTTTTTTGCTCAAAAATGGTTAGAGTTAGTAAGTGACCGGGGCCCCAGCCCGGGCTATGAGTTACTTTAAAATAGAGAATAAGTTAAAATACTAGGAAATGTATAACTGAAGACTTGAAAAGTTGTAAATAGTATAAAATGGAAAACATGAAGATAGATAAAAGTTATAACGTTTTTTTGATGTTCAAGGAAAAAACTGGATTATAAAAGTTTTTTTAGCCTGAAGGGACAGATATAGTAAAAAGATGCAACTTGTTTATCGTAATAGAAATGGTAGCTCGTTTGAGCATTGACCATGGTTGTATTTATAGAAAAAAGAAAGAACCTTGTGTTACCCTTAAAGTTACTTGAAATAAAGAACAGGTTAGGCCTTCAAGAATAACTTTACTACTGCAGCTAGAAAGAAATAATTTAATAACCTCAAAACTTTTATATAAAGAAACTAATAACAGAGTTATGACTAATCGTAGGATAGTTTAAGAGGTCAAAGTGTTTTCTAGAGTTTTGAAAAATTTGAACCATTTATTTAGGACTTTTTAAAAGTTTAGCAAAAGTTAAAGAGAGTTCTGGAGAACACTTTTTTAAGACTGATCAAAATCTATTCTGGAGCACAAACTATGGAAGTGTTGAATTGAAAATTAACTTTAGCATTGAAAGACAGAGTGATTTCAATGTTTAGCAATGGATTAATCTGTTTAACTGTCAGGATCATCATCATCAAAATGATGATGATGATGATCATCATCATCATCATGATAATTATCATCATCATGATAATAATGATGATTATTAGTGTTGTACCGATATCACTTTTTTGGCTGATGCTGATGCCGATGGATGGGAAAAGACCAATGTTGATACCAATGAATTAGCTAATTATTAAACAGAGTTGAACTGGGTCTATCTGCTAAGCTTTAGCCTCTTTCCCATCATCATAAAGTTGTATCTCTTTCTCTTTTCTACAAATACTATCATGGTTGTTGCTCAAAGGAGCTTTCATCTCTAGTTCCATCAACCAAAACTCATTCTCACTTGACTCATCATTCATCTAAGTCTCATTATTTTACTGTATCTGTCTCTTCAAAACTTTTATTTGTCTAGCTTATTTCCCAGCACTTTAACTCTTTGGAACTATTTCTCATCTTCATGTTTTCTTGACTCATAAAACCTTCAACTTTTTAAGTCTTCTGTCAACCGTTTCCTTGCTCTATAACTCTACTCTGTTTTTCTAGCAACTCCCAACTTGATAGTGGTTGCTTGCAGCCTTGTTGGGAGTAAAAACAAATTTTAAAAATATAGATAACAATCCTTAAATAGGTTACTTTTGAAGCTTTTGTCTCTAAACAAAGTCAAAATAAAAATTTATTCAAAAAATTCTAAGTAATGCATAAAGTTTAGTTTATTTATTATTTAATATTTATAATAATGCACAATAAAAATATTAAAATGCCATCGGTTGAAAAATCTGTAAAAATGGCTGATGCCGATACCGATTCTGATTGTACAAAAAGTGGCCGATTAAGTTGATGCCGATTAATCAGTACATCACTAATGATTATGACAATCATGTTGATCATAATGATGTTTTTGTATGCATATATACAAGATATAACATGAATTTTGAATCAGAAAAATATACTTTAGGATGTTCAAATGTTTATGCAGCCCTGGTCACAAACCCAACCTGACCCTGGGTATATTTTATCAAATGCAACCCCGGTAAAATATTAACCCATTCACTTACTAGCTAGAGTTAGTCTTTTTAATCCAGAAATCTTTACAGCCAATTTTTATAATGGAAATGAAAGGAATTGCTGAATCTTAAAATCTGTTAAAAGCACCATGTTAAACTATTCTGAATTCTGTGTAAATAGTAAATTGTAAAGATAAGTTATAAAAGATTTATAGATCAAAACTAAAAAAAATAAAAAAGCTTGTTTTTTGCTATAATAGATCTAGTTTTTATTCAACTATTATAGATGGTTCAAGTACATCAGTGTCTCTTTTTTCATTGTGATTAAATGTTATTTTAAAAATTTATTAAGATACTGGCATAGCCGAGAAGATAAAAGAAAAAACAGATTTGGATGATTTCAGAGAGGCATTAGGAACAGAGCAAGGTGCTAATTTTAGCAATGTCTGAATTTCTAAAAAATAGTATAACGCAAAAACTGTTAAACATACCTTTTTAATTTAGAGTTTTTCAATGGAATTGATACAGACAAAGCACATCCATACATAGAGAAATGCATTGCAACCAAGGAGCCACTTATAAAAGTGACTTTTTTTACTTTTACTTTTTTGTTGCATTGTCATCTTCATTTTAAAATAATTTTGTTGATTGATTAAAGCTGAGGAAATTAAATGTAAATATAGATATTTAGATTAAATTTTTATATTTTAAATTAATTAAATTAAAAAATGTTAAGCAGAGTTCTACCAGAGACATGTTGGGTTATCTCTATAACTCTTAGGGTACAAGCACTTTATCAAAAAACATATTTTAACTTTAATATTATTATTATTTTTTTTTTTTACTGAATACACATCAAATGATACGTTTGGTAACTCAAAAGAAAGTGTAGATGAATTCAAATTTTTGAATTTTTTATTATACAATTTTAAAATCCTTAATGGTATACAACAAAAATAAATTTTTGAAAATTTTGCTTTTGTTTATTTATTAATACAAATTTGTTTTATTTTATTTCTTATTTTGTGAACAATTATAAAAATTTGCTCTCATAAGAGAGAATTGTTTGAAATAAGAATTTGTTCACATAAAAATGAAATTTTTATGTGAAGAAATAATTGTTCACATAAACAACTCTTTCTTGTACTTATTAACATAAACACTTATAACTTTTCATTTCCAAAAAATGAATGCAATTTATTTTAATCATTTTTAGCTTAAATTTAACTAAAGTTTCTTTCCCAGTTCCTCTGACTACAGGATATTTGCATAAACTTCATTTGTATGCCAATTCAAGATGTGAATTAATTTAATTTGATCATGATAATGATCATTGTAATATCTAGAAACATTTCTGGTCTTTTTCTCAACAAAAAAATGGTCAAGTTCTCAATTTTATCATCCTCATTAAAAGTTGTTTTAATGAAGGGGTCAAATTGTCATATTGGAAAATTTTATAAAAAATCAAAACAAGTTTATGACTGCAAAAATAGTAACAGTCATAGCTTACAGTTTAATTTATTGTTTGTTTAAACACTAGTTAATACAAGTATTATTAATGAAAAACAAAAATAGTTACTAAAAATCCAAAAATCACCGTTAATTTTAAAAAAATTTTACAAAATTTACAAACTTTGGCATATAAATTCGTCACATGGTCATACATAAGCAGTGAACATCTGAGTTTTGAAGTTGTTGTACGTGTATATATATATCTATATATTTATATATACATACATACACATATATACATTATATATGTGTATAAGTTTGTGTGTGTGTGTATTTTGTGTATGGGTATTTATATATGTGTATATGTATGTGTGCATATATGCTTGTTTATATATGTGCATATTTTTTGCATTTTTTTAGTTAATGACTGCAAAAATAGTAACTATGTAAGTTACTATTTCACAAATCTTACATAGTTTAATTTATTGTTTGTTTAAACACTAGTTAATTCAAGTATTAAAAATGAAAAACAAAGATAAAAAGTTACTAAAAATCTATTATGTTATATGTTTTCATAATGAGATTATTTATAATTTCAAGATTAATGCGCAAATGTGTTTTATTGTGTAACAACTATTGAGTTATGTGATAAATACAGTATTCACCATTTTTAAAAAACTAAAAATTTAAAGACCATAAGCATTTCTTATCATTTTATTTGTCCCTTGCAAATATAAATTGATAAATGCCAATAAATGTACATCAAAGTTATATAAAAGCCTAAAACAACAAACCAAATGACCAGAACATTTGATTATTTTTTCAATGGGTGCTTTTTTCATGTGTATAACCATAGGTCAAATCATTATCAAAATCTGTTAAATAAAGTTAATGTAAGTAAAATATTATCAAGGGATTAATTAAATTCAATTTAATTAACTAACCTAAATAAGCAGTTGTATTTGGAATTGTGTCATCTACATATTCTTCATCAGTGTGGTGCGTATCGTAATATTATGTGTACATATCATAGTATATTTCTTTAGCTCTTTGAGAAAGGGTTTCCCTTTCTCAAAGAGCTAAATAAATATACTATGATCCCATGGGAAATATACTATTCCCATCATTGATGGAGATTTAGAAAATGTTACTAGTTCTTCTACCAATGTGCTGTGAGGAATCAGTTAACAGTAACCTTAGTAACTTGTTTTTTAGAAAGCTTTTTTGGTTATCATCATAACTTGTTAGATGTTGTAATTGAACCTCAGCAATTGTATGCAGCTAATACAGCTTTAAACTCGCATAAATTTATTAGTAATGAAGTTGCTTTAAATGTAGAATTGTTATTAAATGAAATGTAGCACTCTTATGGCTGTAAAAATTAAAAAGTTTGTTCTATTTCCCATTTCAATGTCTTTCAACATCTTGTATTAAATTTAACCACCTTAATGTAATTTTGTCAACATTTTTTTTTTTTTTGTTGTTGCTGTTTTTAGTATTTTCACTTGTCTAAGTGTTCATTCTCTTATAAGAACTATCAAAAAACATTGTTAAACAGTTTAAAAGTTCAAACAAAGTTTTTGAATGTCTTTGCTTACTACAACTATACATAAATTTAAAATACGGCTGTAACACCAATTTTACAGCTGTAATACCAATTTTACAGCTGTAACACCAATTTTACGGTTGTAACACCAATTTTACGGCTGTAACACCAATTTTAATTTTGAGAAGTTATAGTAAATAATAAGGATAAGAGTAAGACCAAAAAATTGACCACTTGTGTTAATAGTTCCATGAAAATTGACCACTCATTTTCATAGCTCCATGAAAATTAACCATTCATGTTAATAGCTCCAAAGAAATCGACAGTTCATGTTAATAGCTCCTTAAAAATTGACCATTTTTGTTAATAACTCCATGAAAATTGACTACTCATGTTGTTAGCTCCATGGAAGTTTACCTCTCATGTTAATAGCTCCATTAAGTTCACCATTATATTATATTACTAAATCTTGTTTTGTGTTATAAAAAACAATTTCATTAATTCAAATAGAACCCTAAGTATTTTTTAATGGTGCATTTGCAAATAGTCATTTTTGCCAATAAATATCAAAAAATATCAGAGTTGAATTTTATTGTCATTATTGATATCGTGAAAACATGCTTGTTACTTAAAGAGTTACTTGTTTTGTTTTATTTTGCAACAAAATGCTATACAAATTGGGCAATACAAATAATATATTGGCTTTAAATCATTGTTTTAAACTTAAATGGATAACCAGGATTGATAAATTGTTTTTTCTAGGAACAACGCTATAGTAAATTTTATTAACATCAAAGTTTATATTTTTAGTTTAGATAGCTGGATGTATTTTTATAAAATCTAATTTTTGAGTTACATTTGCATTACAGTTAAGAATTTGAATCATTCTCTAAGTTAATTCTCTAAGCATTTTATATCAATAATATCACAATTATCTGCTATGGTCTTTTGATCATTTGCTCTTATTTGAGTGAAAATAAATTAGTAAGAATTCAAGTGCTCAATTTATTAAGAAATAACTTTCAAAATTGTTAAATTTAAACATCATACATCAAAAGCACTTACTTACATAAACAGTTATATACTATTGTTAAATAGTTACAAATTCAAAGACAAGTAGTCGTACCTATGGTACCATACTATCAAACTTTTAAAAACAAAATCAAATATTATTATAAACATATTACTTTGTAACAACAAGTTCAAAATATATAGATCATTTACTGTAAATTTTTTTAATAGAAGAATAAAGTTCTTGGTACTAGAACATCTTTGAACTAGCGGTCACTAACAATCACACTAAGCGATCATTAATATGTACATATTTATGGTTAAATTATACATGATTTTAATATATATCAAGCATGTAAAATATTTTCCTATTTTTAAGTACGTAATCACCCATGCAATTCCAAGGCACCTATTTTGCATTTATATTTAATTATCTATAATAATTATATATTGTTACAGTCTGCTTGACTGTAACAATATATATATATATATATATATATATATATATATATATATACACACACACGCACACATATAAATATGTAATTATAATAAGTAAAATTGACTTTAGGTTTTACGTTTGATTTGTTTGCAATGTTGTACCAACAATGGATTTAAAATAAAGCTACTTGATTATTACAAAAGAGAACTTTTCCATGTAACAATTTTTTATTATTATATGTTAATGTAATATTTTTTTTTTTTTATTATATATAAAATTAAACAAGAGAATTCTCATAAAATAAAATTTTGTGCAATAGCAATTAACTAAAAAAGTTGAGTTTTATCTGAGTTAAAGCTCACTAGCCACTGAGAGCCCCATGCTGTAGCAGAAGTGTGATCTTTTCCAGATCAAATGCCCCCTCCAAGCAATCAGAGAGTGTTGGCTTCTTATCAAGACATTATAGATAATAGAATGAGTTGTCTAGTTATTGGGAGATAATAGAATGAGTTGTCTAGTCATAAATATATATATATATATATATATATATATATATATATATATATATATATATATATATATATATATATATATATATATATATATATATATATATATATTAGGGTGGGTTGAAAAACATAATTTAAAACTGTCTTGTAATAGCTCTAAATATATGCGATATAATAAAATATTACTGGATTAACAAAAAATTTCGAAAAAAACATTTTCTAGAGGTGCCCAAAATCCCTGGAATATTTATAAGGCCCCTAATATTCTGGGAAAAAAAATTCTTCAAAAGTAGGTCAACCTGGTACTCAAAGGAAGCGAAATTTTATAATAATTGTTAAAAATAATTGTTTTATAACATATTGAAAATTATTTTATTTTTAGACTAAAAATAAAATAAGTGCATTTTTTTAAGTTTTTTTGTTAATACTTTTATATATATATATATACATATATATATATATATATATATATATATATATATATATATATATATATATATATATATATATATATATATATATAGAGAGAGAGAGAAAAAAAAAATTGTACGGATATTATAACGGAGGTGGAGGGTGATGAGAAAATTAACGGAGCAATTAACTCCATTTAATTTTTTGAAATAAAATTTAGACGCACTTTGATAAGAAAACGCGTGACACTCGTTTTATTGTCTTTTGCATTTTTATCATTCAACAGCCTTTTAATTAGTTAGTGTAAGGATAAAATATACGAAGGAAGATTAAGCCAGTATGAGTATCGTGACATTTTGGAAAACGCGATTATCCCTAATCGCGATTTGTTCCAGACTGATCAAAACTGGTTATTTCAACAAGACGATTCTCCATGCCATACAGCACATTCGATCACTGATCATTTCCTTAAAAGTAATATTCAAATCATGCCTTGGCCAGCACAATCACCAGACTTAAACCCGATCGAAAATTTTTGGAGCTGGATGGATTATCAACTAACAAAAAAAGCAAATAACTAGTCACAAAATGCTCAAACAAGAACCAAACTGTGGCTTGAAATACCAATCAAGGTGATTGAAAACTTGATTGAATCAATGCCAAGGCGAATACAAGCATTTATTAAAAACAACGGGGGTCATATTCCGTATTAATATATTTCGATTAAAAGAAGTTGTAGGTGCGTTTAAACTTTAATGCACTTTTTTCTAAGAAATCTTTTGATTAATTGAGTTATTTAATTTCAGAAAAGACTTTGTGTTTTTTTAATTTAAAGTTGTGTTTTTTTTTTTAATTAATAATCAACTAAGAAAAAGAAAGAAAAAAAACCTGGACCCTGCCTCATGTTTTCTCTTTGTACCACTCTAAACATACCTTAATTTTTAAAAAAACAAGTGCGTTTAAACTTTTTGTATAAGGTTTGTGTGTATATATATATATATATATATATATATATATATATATATATATATATATATATATATATATATATATATATATATATATATATATATATATATATATATTGTATGTATATAAATAATTTATATGCGAACATATAACAATAATTTTGGTGAAACTTTTTAATGATTTAAAGCAATCTTTGTTTTTAGACTTATGGATTAGAACTGTTGTCGACATTTCTAAACTTAGAAAAGGTTGGTTTGTTGCGCCAAACCGCCGTTCGAAACTATCCTACATTGAAGAAAAACTTAAAGCTTGTTGTTGAAGGAGTCCACGAACAGGTTTTGTTTTGTTTTGAATTTTAAACTTATTAGATAGCTATATAGTTTTTTATTTGTTGTTGTTTTTTCTAGAATCCGAACGATATTGCCTATGTGCATTCTGGTTTTGCTCCAATATCTATTAGGCTTGCCCAGTTTCTCGAGCGTTCCTCTAGTTGGAAAGGAATGGAAGAAATTCTAAAGTTACTTCCAGGACCAAATACAGAAGAATTTCAAGATATTCCGATATCGCTTCTGAAAAAAGGTTTGCATTTTTTAATTATTTAAAATTTTGGTTTTAAAGAGTTTTAAAAAATTATATCAAAATGAGAGGTGGCATATAAACAAAAATCGTGATGAATCGTGATGAGTGCCCTTTTTTTTCGATATCATAAGAATTTAGAATTAAACACAATGTTAGGTTTTCATAGTGTTTTTTTAGCCGGTACCCATCTTGGAACTAATAATTCAAACTCTGAAAATCTGCCAAAAATAACGCTTGTGTATTTCATTGGCGGATGTACATACTCAGAAATATCTGCTTTGAGATTCTTAGCACAACAGGAGAACGGTAATTATGAAATTTTTGTTATTTTAAGAACTGCTTTTAAAGATATATATAATCTTGCAACTTCAACGTATCACATTTCAATAACAAAATTATTAATTTTATTTACCGACAGCTGTCACGAATTACGTCATTGCCACAACAAAGATTATCAATGGAAACGATTTAATAGATTCACTTATAGAAAACTTTGCCAAAGCACCAATAAGCGCATGATGCGACTATATTAGAATTTCGATTAGCTAGTTTAAAGTCAATGAAATTTTTTGGCACTATCAGTTGTGCAAACTTAAATATATAATGCTTAGGAGTTTATAAAAAATAAAATTTTAGATTTTTTATAGATTTTAACCTTATTGAAACTAATAAACTGATATAAATTAAATTTGAAAACTAAGGCAGATATAGTTGGTTCTTGTTTTTAAAATGAGGTTATTGAAAAAAATATTTTTTCTAAAAGTGATCAGTTGTTAATTTTTCAACAATTTATTTTTTTATATAAAGAATTTAGAAATTTTTTTAGTTGCGTTCTATCAATTTCTTTGTTTGTTCGGTAAGACGTCACCTCAGTTTATGCTTGCTTACTCTTTTTTTCTAATCAGTTTTTTAAATTTAGAGCATAAATAATAGAGTTTGGACATCAATTTGCTACTGCTCCGGTCTACCCAAACCTTATTGCTCCGGTCTACCCGAATCCTATTGCTCTGGTCTACCCAAATCCTACAAACACTTATCTTTTAGTCTTCTTTTCTTAAATAACATCTTTTAATCCTTACATAACATCTTTTAATCCTTAGTTTACTATAATTTTATTAAATTTTGTCTTATTGAAATCAGTGTCGTAAGCAAGTTTTTGGGATTGTTAAATGTGATACTTTGTATTGTGCTAAACTTAAATATGTTCACGCTTATGCAAAATGGGAATGCTTTGCAAAATGTTGCGGTGCTAGGAGGCTACGAATTCATCTAAAATCCTTTTTGTATTCAAAAAATTATAACCATGTAAAGTAACCCTTTCTTTAATGAGGGGGAAAAACTTTTGCAATACATTCTTATTTACATTTATAAGATTGGATTTTGTGGATTATGAAGCATCAAATAATCCTGTCTACACCACTGTAATCCTTCCAAATAATCCTGATTAAAATATGAATTATTAAATGAATCTTTTAAGTACAGAAGTCATTGTCAGACTTAATAAACTAATAGCTTACAATTGTTAAGGTTATTTACAAAAGATAATAGACAAAATATTTATGAACAGGATATTTTAAACTCTTATAATAAACCAATACTAAACTATACAAAGTAATGTTGTTAAACTTTTAAAATATGTAAGCTTCGCATACATATTTTAAAAGTTTAACAACATTACTTCGCATACAAAGGTAGTTTCTAAATTTCCGAACGTTTGTTTAAAAAGAAAAAATTCTATATTTTCAAGTGAAATAGCTTGAAAAAAAATCATAGCTTACTTTCTTTAATTGCTTATGTTAATTTCAAATTCAACTTTTTGATTAAATTATGCTGTAACTAATAATAATAGCAACTACATCTTTTCAAGATATAATTGAAAACTTGAAAGTTGTTATTAAGAAACGTAAGATCCCAGTAGGCATGTGTCGTCCGGGGGACGCACTTCGGGCATTTAGACCTCCGTGAGACGTAATTGAGAAAGTAACATGTAATTTAGAACATAAAAGTTGTAATTAAGAAACGTAACATGTAATTTAGAACATGAAAGTTGCGGTAACTTTAAAGCTACCGCAAAGTAACTTTAAAGTTTTACTTTAAAGTTACTTTGCGGCAATATTTCCATTATTTGATATATTGCAATTATTTTCCGTTTTATAAAGTCTATTGTTAATTAAATAGTGTTAAAATATTGATCAAACAATACGTCTTAATAGATTATTAAAGATCATTATATGTTCGAGACAGTCGAACCATTGATTTAGAAATCAAAAAAGGATTAAAGCGCTATATCAATAAAGAACTAAAATACTATTATCTAACATATTGTTGTTATCATGGTGGGCGCCAGATTAATTCAAGTTCAAAAGGTATTCGTCCAAATCAAAGGTTTGTCTAAAAAAAAAACTATTTAAATTTGTGTAAGGAAATAAATAATAAAAAAAAGTTAGTAGTGTTACAACCAACTTTGACCAATTCGACTACAAGTCGAAAGTCAAATTATTCGACTTTGAAAAATCGATTAGTCGGTTTTATCGACAACGGACTTCCGTTGTCGATAAAACCGACTAATCGATTTATTCGACTATTGTTTAATAACAATAGTTTGTTTTATTATAAATATTACCTAGTTTTTTCTTTACTCTCTTAAAGTTTAATAAACCGAATTCATAGCACGTTATTATTATTTATTCCTAATTAAAATTTCGATTATGCATTTCAATAATTTTTCTTTTTCTTTTGTTTACTCGATGCTTGTGATTTTCATAAAATTCATACAGGGTCGCTCCAAGTTAGCTTGGGCCCTGTATGAAATTTCAAAAAAAAAAAAATTGTTTCCATACTTCCACAAAATCGACTTTTAGCAAACTTAGTCGATTTCAAAATTTGTTATTCGAATTTTATCGACTTCAGAAAATATGTTAGTCGATTTAATCGACGTTCGAATTATATAATAGTCGTAACAACTTTAGTAATTAGTTAAGTCATTTAACGAAATTAGGTTATTTCTGATTTTTTCATTTTACTTTGTATTACATTTTACGTGTATTTTATAGAAAATTGTCCCCTCAAGAAAAAAAGTCTACATTCCTAACAAAATATTTAGCTAGCATTACCTAGCATTTTCTTTCTTTCGGGAAACTTTTTGTAACTCTCCTATATTAACAGCAGAATCTCAGTTAATTCATTTATTACCTTCTTTCAAAAATACAATACAATAAATATATATTTAGACACACGCGTCATACAGAAGCATCATTAAACTTTTCACGAATAATTTTGAGGCTATTTAAATGTTATTTATGCATTTTTTTAGTTCAAAACTAGATTTAAAATAGGTTTTTTATAATTATACTAAACTAACATACAAATGTTTTCTATGATTTACTTTAGTCTTAATCTCATAATTATATTAATTTCATAATCTTTATCATGGCTTAGTCTATACTTAAAACTTGATTTAGATATATTGAAAAGCAAAACATCCAAAATACCGATGTTATAAAATTTGTCGAACCACGCATCTCTTAGGCAAGCTCTTTAATCACTGCGCTATGACTGCACACTTTAGTTATGTTGAAAAATTAACATCCAAAAAGAAGTTATGATGACTGGATTGTGCTATTTTCTTTGATTCAATTTTTGACACGCGATGCTGATTTATGCATTATTTCTGAAAAAAAGTTACCGAATGTTAAAAACAAATCTATTAAAAATAAAAGCTTTTGTTTCTTACAAAAATTACAAAAAATGCGTCACCAAACTTTTCCTATTATTCTTGTTCCACTTTAATTATAGTCAATTTAAAGAAAAACTTTAAATATAGTCAATTTAAACCAAATGACAAAAATAGGAGAGAAGAGTTTTTCTTTTTCGTTTTTTATAATGCACGTTCATAATCATATGGTTTAAATATTGCCTACTTTTTGCGTTTTGTAGTAGCGTAAACGGATATACTTTTTACATACGCATTTTTTTATTAGTATTATTATTTTAGCATAACATAGCAAATTGTTGACAAGGGGGAGGGGAAGGTCTTTAAAAGTTGACATCAATAATGTTACTTTTTTTTTTTTTAGGTGATCTAAGAAGTCCTTACGGTCTTATCACAAAACACCGCGGAAGAGCATTAAATAAAAAGTTCACGCCTCCTTCCTAACCGATGTCGCAAAAACTTGTCCAGAGGTGGGGTTTGAACCACGGATCTTACCTTACTAAGGGCACAACGCAAGGCTGTTCTTTTTTTATATAAATTCATTAGTTAAAAAAAAGGAAAAATAGGATGTTTTTTTTCGTTTTAATTTTTCGATTTCTTGGGGTGGGTTGGGGGGTGGCAAACAAATGTTGACGTAATTTTATAGGTGGTTCTGGAGGTTGGACAAGTTGTTGACATTGGTGAGTGGGTAGGTAAACATTGTTGACGTAGTTAACGAACAGTTGTTTATGTATTGAATTTATGACCTCTTTTTGTATATAAACACAGACAATATGAAAACGGAGCTCGTCAATAAGACAGTTAATGTCTTTTTCTTGCTCCCGCCAATATGCATATATGGGCAATTTCACCGTTACTTACGGGACATTTTGATTTTTGTAATATCACGTTTTTAGATATATATTTTTTATTTTAACAGATTAGATGTTTATATATTTATGAATCATCCAAAAATCATTTATTTGTTTTCCTGTATATTGAAATTTCGTTCAATTATTATTGGTGTAGAAATTATAGTTGATTATATACTGCGTGACTTTGGTGCGCAAAAAAAATTGCATTAAACCTGTTATTTTTAGTTAAATATTTCAAGCCAAGTATAAAACAACCTGCATAAACTGGCTTCTTGAATTAAGTAGTTATTCTGAGTAAAATTATTCAAAAGATTATTTCAGCTATTTATATATATATTTTAAATCAAATTAGTTATCGTTACTTACGAGAATAATTCTACGCTTTTATCAAAATGTAGTTTAGCTACCATTTATATAGAAAGTATGACGCAGAACTTTAATTTGAAATTAAAATAAAAAAAAATAACTCAAATAACATTATTAATCAAAATTTAAAATTTTTAAACATATGGCAACCCAGTGATAACTTTTGTTTGAATTTTTCTTTTTTTATCGAAATAACTCACTTGAGAGTAGAGTTGCCCATATTGTAATGTTTATTATTGTAAATATATGATATGAAAAATAAATTTAAATTATTTTTATATTTTATATGGCATAAGTAACATAAGTAATAAAATTTATTTCATGCATTTTTTTTTTTAGCACAGAGTTTTGTTACAATTTTACATGGTAAGGTTTACATCGAACATCGACAAAAATGCTAAGAAAATCAATAACGTTTGTTTAGTTTTTTATTATACAATAGTGCAGTTAATAAAATTAAAGCAAATTACTTGGTAATATTTTTTAGTAGAGAATACATTTAATATTTCAATGTTTGTGTCTTATAAAGTGTTATAGTGTTGGCCATTACACAGTAAATGATCAATGCCATTAGCAATGTCAATTAAATCAGAGGCTTCTTAAAAATAATTTAGGTCCAGTAAAGATTCTGGAGGACTTAATAAACTATTTGTAGCAGTTTTTTTGATAAGGACTTTTATGCTCTATTGTAAAAAAAACTATCCCTACATAATGTTAAAGTTGAATGATTTTTATATCAAAAGAGATTTGAAAAAAAAAAGATTTTGTTTAAAAAAGATTTTTTTCGTCAGTGTTAGGGCTAAAATCCAAAATTGCGGTTGGGTGGTTCGGTGGTTCTAGCATTAGATTTAAAAATCTCCGATATATACATTTAAAAGAATGCCATTTAGAAAAGAATTTTTTGTTTTTATAACATTTAAACAAATGAAAACCGGCTACAATCAGAGGCACAGTCTATGTAGCATTGAATTTCAGCATTCTTTGCGCGCAAGAAACGCAGTCGGCCAACAACACCCCTACTGTTTGTTATAATTATTTTCTCTTCGTTTTGAAGCGCATTCAGCATGCTTTAGCACAAATTGAGTTTACAAAACTTAAATTTTTAAAACAAAACAAAATTTAATTTTTTTGCACTAGATTTCTTCTACATTAGCTCAAGAAAGCTAAAATTATAGAATAATAAAAAAAGAGCATGCAGCTGAACTTCCAGTGCGCTATTTTTACGCAATTATGCTTATAAAAAAAATAGCTTTTTTATTATATACAATTGGATACTTTAACGCAGGTAATTGCATTAATTCTATGTATAAAACATAACGTGACGTTAGAATAATAGGGTTCTATCTCCCTTTTGTAATGTTGAGAGAATTTAACTTTCGGTTTTTAATTATTTAAATGTTTTACAGTTGTTATTGTTTATATTATAAAATATGCTTTTATGTTATTTGTATTTTATAATTAATCTTATATTATTATTTATAAAATTTATAAAATTGTTTGTTTATAAATTGGTTGTTAATGTCAACTTAATTGAATAAAGTTTAATAAAGAGTTGAATAATTGAATCAATTTTCTAACGGTCAAAGAAGCACTTTTATTTAAATTTACTGTAAATAAATCCTAAGTGGCTGAAACACTTTACTAGTTTTTTGTAAATATAGGTTTTACTTTATTATCAAATAAAGCAATTTCTCAAGTACACTCTGATTCTTACTTAACCTCAAACAATAGTGTTAAGTCTAAATTTACAGAAAATGAATTATTAAACAGATTCTTTAATGAAGAGCGCTAAAAGTTTAGGGTTCGATGATAAAAATTAATGAAGTGATCAAATCAATAAAGCAAATAGCAATTCCATAATTACAGATTTTTAATTTATCTTTAAAGAATTTATTATTAGTAGTAAATCTTTTTCCAGAAAACCTAAAAATTGAAAAAATAAGTCCAATTTTAATTTTTGATAATACTTCTGATATTGCAAATTATTGAACAATTTCAATTCTTACTTGTTTTTTAAAATGTTAGAGTGAGTTTTGATTACCTACCTCGCATATGATTTAAAATGTTTGCAAAAGACCAGTATATCCTTGTTGCAATAACTAGTTTAAGTAAAACTTTTTATAATTTAATCATCAAATCTTTCTTTCTAAACTCAAAAGTTATGGTAAAAAAGTACTAACTTTTTTATTTGAGAGTTATTTGACTAATTGGGAGCAGTATATAATATACAAGAGAGGTAAAACTTTTTATGAGACAATACCTGTGGTGTTCCTCAAGGATCAATTTAAGGATCTCCTTTATTTCTCTTTTATATAAATAATTTAAATTATTTTTCTATCATTTTAAACTCAATTTTGCTTCCAGATGATACTAACTTATTTTATTCCAGTAAAATGATCAGTATATTATATTGAACAGTAAACAAAGAGCTAGACAAACTAATCTAATGGTTTATTCCGAATAAACTACCTTAAAAAACAATAAAACTAAATACATGTTATTTCATCGTTTTCATTAAAAACCAGATGTTTCCTTAAAACTTCTGGACATTTTTATTAATAACAAACTTCCGGACATTTTTATTAATAACAAATTTATAACAAGAAAAAATTCAATAAAGTTTTTAGATCCAAGATGAAAATGTTACCTGGAATGTTACCACATAAGTGAAGATGTTGGTATTATATATAAAGCCAAGTAGCTATCAAATCTATTATCCCGTTCATACTGACGATAAAACACGTTTATTTTAAATGCGTATTGAATTGTTGTTATAAAAAAGTTTATAAAACCACAATAAAACAATACTGCAAGGTTGTTATGTTAATTTAAAGAGCTTGTACTAATATAAAACAACATTACCATTGTATTTTAATGATGTCTTATACAGTTTAAAACATTAAAAACGTAAAACGCGTTTGAAATAAAGCGTGGTTTACCGTCTGTGTAACTTCTTATATAGTAGTATATTTTGTTTTAAAAACTTGTACTTTTCTCATATTCATTGTAACTTAAATTATTCAAACGTTGCTTGATGTAGCAATAACGTAGAAAATGTGGCTTCGTGCAGCAAATAAACATAATAAATTTAATTTTTAAAATAATAAGTTTATAATTTCATTTACAAAAGTCGTTATTTAAAAATTTTCAAACAATGTTAAAACTTTTTACTGCGTTACTTCCCGGTGGGAAATCGGCTAGCGATTAGCTAGCTATAATCGTTACGATAAAGACAGCGATTTGGCCACGAGGATCGCTAGCTTTTTTAAGTTGTCGAAAAGCTATCGATATTTGTAAAGATAAAGACAGCGATTTGGCTACGAGGACAGCTAGCTTAATAAGCTAAAGACTCACAGGCTATTATAGCTACCGTCATATCGTAATAAAATCGCTATCAAAAAAATTTTTGTATGTAGCTATCAACCAGCTATAGATTTGTAGATATTTTGTAGCTGGCTACAAACCTACGATATGTAGCTAGCGACACATTGCTACAAAATCGCAATGTTTAAAGTTCAATTATTTTCATAATTATAATAGACTCAACACTAAAAATCGAATTTTTAAAGATGTTAGAGACATTAGAAGAATAAAATCAGAAAAAAAAAATCGCTTGAAAATCGCTATGAAGCTAGCTAGTCGCTAGCTCATTTCCCACCGGGTTGAATAGAAAATGGCTATGCATTTGGAAACATTCTTTTAAAAAAGTTCCTTTATTTTCAAATTCTCTAAAACTTTTTTTTAGTTTAAAAATGACAATAAAAAGTTTTCATTGCATGCATTTATCACGAGATAATTTTAGTAATTTCATTATCACGAGATAATTTTAGTAATACTTCGATCGCCAAAATGAGTAGATATCGGTAAATAATTGTCAACGAATAAATCGGTACGAACGATAATTTAAATCCCATTTTAAAGTTTTTTTTCCATATATTTTAAAAACATCTTTTCAAAGTGAACATCACAAATTTTTGTTTTTATATAATAATTTTTTTTTTTTTCGGAATCCTTTTATTTTTTATTCTACATTTTTATTCTATTAGCAAAATAAATTCAAATGGTCTTCTCGACTATGCCGCACTTACATTTAAATTTAAACTCGCCCGCTGGATGTTTCAGTAGATACAAAATGAAGCAAAATAAATGTTAATGACGTTGTACGCAAAAGAGTTAAATGCAGAGGAGCGAAATTAACATCGGAGCAATTTTAAAGTTTACCATTTACTAAATTGCGTAGCTTATAAACTTGAAGACCAAATTTATATGTTTTCATAGTCATTAACTATTTAACTACCTTTTAAAAACCACGAAAACTGTGAAAAAATTAATAAAAAGCTATTTGTATACTTATCTCACTTTAACCAAAAGTTGGTAGTTGCCACTTCTGTGAACAACACCATCAATATAGTCATGGCTTTTATATAATTATATAAATTATTTATGTATCATGTCTAAAAAATTGCATTACTTAATTTTTTCTTTTTTTCTTTATTAATACAGCATGCAGCAGTTTATTTTATGGAAAATTAGTTCTAAAAACATCAGCTTTAAACGCGAAACACTATAGACATAAACCAACAGTTTTTGCTACGCGTCGTTCTACGTATTTAAAAAAAAATGGGGATGTTTTTAGAATACACATACCTGGTATAGCAAGAAATGCTACGCATGATTCTATTTCCTTTGAGTCCGTCCGTTGGCCAGGTTACTTTCTTCGACACAGAATTGTTAACAACGACTATAAATTCAGAATAGCAAAACCAGCACAAGAAGACAATGATTTTGGTAAGTGTAATAAAGTCATCAACATTAAGTTTAAATGTCCTAAAATAACATTGTCACGTGTTTGACCAAATTGTTGTTGATCTTTAAAACTATTTTTTGTTTTTAGATCGCGAATCAACTTTTATTATTCAGCGTCACACCGGTATTGAAGGCTCCGGAATGTTGCGCTTGTTCCAGAATCCTCAATACTACTTATGCGTTCGTAAATATAACAATGCTGATTCAGCTTTAAAAGCAATGAAAAATGATCATTCAAAAGACTTTGCGGAAAGGTGTTCTTTTTTTATTCAAAAGTTAAGACCAGAAAACGTTGACGCTGCGGTACTAAAGTCCACGCTAAACAAAAAGTCTTTAAAGGTTAAAAAAAGCGAACAAAAAAATGACAAACGCGTTAGAAAAATACTCGAAGAATACATCAAAAATATCGAGAACAAAAATTCTGCCCAAACATATAATACGAAAAAGTTTCTTGATGATCTAAAACACGCGACGTTAAAAACAAAGCCTACATTAACAAAAAAAGTTAGAAAGTTATATCCCGGGCTCTCTGCTGAAAGTTATACTGGTAATGGACTGTTCTCCCCACAACTAAACTACATACCAACACAAGTTAGTGCCTTTTATAGAATACCTAATTCTTACAGCTACAACTATCCGTATTCTTACAGAAACCAATATTATAATGAAATTGAAAATAAAAACCCAAACTTGCTATCTTATTTTCCTGTGGTTTCAAGATATGACCCAATGCAAACCGATGTTCGAGCATTCTTTGGGAAAAAAGACTATATAAAGACAGAAAGGTTAGGAAAAGGGTATAACAACCAGGTTGGAACAATGTATGGCACTTGGAAAAAAGAAATTAATCCTAGAAGTGTTTTGGGTATGGTAAGCATTGATGAAGATAGTGAGCGAAAAACTCATCAAGTAAAACGAAATATTATGAAAATAAGCAATTTTGCCAGAAAAACAAACAAGACTTTAAAACAGAGTTCTCTAAATATAATTGAGAATCAAACATCGCTATTTCCAAAAAAATATACAAACAATTTACAAGAAACGATAAAAAAAAATGCATCTTTATTTAGCAAAAAAACTGAATTTAAAATTTTATCCAAGTTAAACCGTCCATTTAATAGCACTGAATTAAGTACTGCCGTTTTTGATCATAAAAGTATGACCAAGGAATATAGCCTTGAAAATAAAACATTTTTAGGCGGGAAATATATTGAAAACATGTTCCCTGAACCCATTGACGCGACAAAGAAAAAAATTATATTAAAAAATGACTATAATACATTGTTAAGTGTGAACCATTTCGACAGCATTCCTTCTTTTGTGCGTCAATTTAATGGAAAAGAGAGAAGTGAAATTGAAAAAAATTCCGACAATGAAAGAGAGGGTCATCTCATAGGTTTGGCTGATGCTCTTGAAACCTCAGCAGCTTTGACTGTTGATCGACTTAGCAAAGATAGCTTAATGAAAGAAGTTTCCGCTTTGGGTTTTAATGGCCCAACGTATAATGAAGTATTAGGAAATCTTACAGCCGAATCAGAAGCTTCAAACGATGTTGATAATAATAAAAATCGTAACAGCGAAAACACGCAAAATTCGACTGAAAATTTACACTCAAGAAACGAAACAAGTAAATCAAACGTTACTAACACAAACCAAGACTCTCATAACTCAAGTAACTCAAACCTGGTGTTAAATATTACTCAAATATCAATAGAAAAAATGAGCCCAAAAAACAATAGCTTTAACTCTTCTTCCGTTTTTAATTTAGTCAAACCCGAGAATAATTTATCTGTTCTTAATAGTACATCTGAATTAACGCCAACATTATCGTCTAGCATACAAACGTCTCTTAACGCAAATAAATCAAGAATAACTGAAGGAAAAATAGAAAAACAAAACTCCGATGGTTTAACTAAAATTTCGTCAACAAATAACCAGAAAGTTGTTAATGGGTCAAAAACTGAGCCTCATCAATATTCTACAGAAAATATGATTAAAAAAGAACCAGTCTCAAGTAGCTCGCCGCAAAAAAATGTGGAAGCAGAACAACCGCAAGTAGTTTCAAAAGCTAAAAAAAATAATAAAACTAAGAAAGTTGCAAAAATCAAAAAAAAAGCAAATAAAAAAAACAACAAATACAAAAAAAATCAGCATACTGTAAATAACCATGCAAAGTATGGTACAGAAGAGTTTGGCACTGAGTTTTCTAACTCAGGTGACAATGAAGAAGAAAATGAAATAACTGATAATAATAATGACGATTACACAATGTCGCACGATTTTAATTGGAACGATTATGACGATACAAAGTTAAACGAAGAAGCCACTCCAAACGAACATTTTACAACGGATAGAGAAAGCAACGAAAACATTGAAAAAATGTCTCAAGGAGAAAATTATGAAAATGTCAAACTAGAAAACCACGACATACACGATATACCGATGGATTCTCACGAGTTAAGTCATCATACTGATGGAGAACATTCTGAAGGAGAACACTCTGAAGGAGAGCACTCTGAAGGAGATGGCATAACCTATAACAATATTGATAAAGCGAAAAATATGGTTGAACTAGGATCATTTGAAATGAAAGGAATAGCCAGCGCCATGGATAAGCTCAACAAAGAAGACGTTAATCAATTAAGAACAAAAATGAAAAATTTAGAAATCATTGACACAAAACATCAAAAGGAACGCTTAAGTGAAGGTAAAAACAGATTTATATTTGTTTGTAATTTTTTTGTCACGTGATTAATACAAAAACAAAAGAGATTTTATGTTCATATCTTGCTTTTCTGTTATTTAAGGAACGGATTACCACGAAGAGCTGAAGTATGTAGCTAATGACGAGCCTAAAGTAGAAGTCAACAACCATGTTTCTTCTTCTATTCTTTCACCTGGATCTAATGAGGCATTTTCAGATACAGTGTCTAACAGCAATGTTGTTGGAGATTTTGGTTATCATCCAAGTGATGAAAGACAAGATGCAATTCATGACACCATCAATTCATTAAGACAGACGGCATCTAGAGAACCTGACATTGTTGAGGAAGCCACTGCAGTTCCTTTAAGACTATCTCCATCTTCTTTTCAGCCTACAATGGTTAAGAAAGAAGGCGATCAATTTGAACAGAGTAGCAACGTTGATGCAGAAGAAAATGTTGGAAATTATCACGAAGAGAATGTAGAAGATGAGCCCGGCAATCAAAAGCTATTTGAAACTAAAGGTGTTTATAGTGTATATATAATCTATAAATGTTAAAATGTCCATTTAAATATTTAACTGCTTTATTTTATACAATTTCTCTTTATCATTGTCTAAAGGAATTGACGTGGCCTCACGCTCAAACTTAAATAATATTCGTCAAAGAAAACAAAAATCCACAATAAAGTTGCGTGGTGTTGCTCGTAGCAATCTAGCAATAGTACCAGTCATCTCAGATGAACTACAAAGTCAATATTTTCGTAAAATTCAAACAATGGAACAAGATGACGCAACAAAAGTTACCAAGCGCGGAGAAATTCATAAAGAAGTTGAATACGGGTCTGGAGACAGCTCTCACAATTCTATTATTGATTTACTGAATTCAACAATTAAATCTGAATCTACTGCTGGTACATTAAACAATAATTTTTTAAAACCTTCTTACAGTAATAGAGAAGAAACAGAGCCTGTAAAAAGTGAAAATCTCGTTCGTCACACTCATCATATACTTAAAGTAAAAGATGAAGAAGAAAAAGAAGAAATAGTTAATGGTTTGGTAGATTACAACAACGGTGAGTAAAATATAAATTAAATTTAAATTTAAAAATATTGGAAAAAAATTAATAAAGAATTGAAAAATCTTTCTCAGACAAATGCGTATCTCTAAAGCTGAGCAACGAACTCGGCTATCGATATCGACTCATTTCATCAATAAACAGTCATGGTTATTCTCCACGAGGAAAATTTTTCACTTTAAAAACCGTTTTTAAAGATCCTAGCGCACACAAGTTTGTTTTGTTCCACGGAGTTGATGACGCGAATCCAAATAACCAAATTTTATTTAACGGAAAAAAAGAAATTGTAAAGGTATATTTTTATTAAAAGAAACTCAATTTTTTAATTATTTATGAACTTAAGATTTTTGTCATTTAAGTTACATCACATTAATTATATAAGGAATAAAAGAGTATTTTATTTGGTATCACGTCGCAAACATAATGAAATGCAATTAAACCAAATAATGACGGATTTTTTAATGAACCCGCACTTGGTATTTTATTAAGTTTCATAAAACTATTACAGATTTTGAACTTAATACGAATAATTAATTTCAGATTCCAGAAAACTGTAAAAGTTCTCCTGAAATAGTGCGCGTTTCAAGCTCACTAACAGAGCTAAGCGGAACAAAGCGGAAAAGATATCACATACACCATAAAGACGCACAAAAAATCAACAAAATATTCAGAAAAAGTAGCATTTTTTACCCAACAACTTTTACTAACGGAGAAGATAAAGCAACATCTTATGAAGGAGATGATCAAGTTTACGCGACAAATGTTAAAGATTACACAAGAAAAAGTGCAGTGACAAGACCACCTGGTAAGATAAACTTGATAAAATATTTGATTAAAACTTTATTTATTTTATCTTTTACTTTTGTTATTGTTACTTGTTTTGTTTTTTTGTTAAGATTCCCAAATCTAATTTTTCTGATCAAATCCACTCAAATTTGCTTTTATTTGATCGGATATGAGGTTTTACAATGAGCTAAGGCGGTTTTTCTCTTTTCAATGCTTAAGAATAAACATTTAATATATACCAGTATACTAACAAAAACGTGAAAAATATTTCAGTAAAAAAGTTACGTATTGTATTTGCTCTGCACTCGTTTTAAAACGATAAAAATTAAAAAAGTTTAGCAATACAATGAGTCTTTATTATTAATAATTATTTTTATTTATTGGTATAAATAATTGGTAATAATGCGTCAAAAAGCAAGCGATCATTTATTAAGAAATGTATTAAAACTTTAAAATAATTGTTGTTTTTTTTAACGTTATTTTATTAAGATTTATTATGTAACAGCTTTATACAACAGTATTTTACGTTTCAGATACTAAAATCTCGGCCTACTAAGTTGTTCTACAAAAAGAACATCTGCTAAAAAGTGCAGCGGCGGCGCTAGGCAAATCGTGGACATCGGCGAAATTAGCTTTGCGAGGCCCTTTTATGTAAAAAAAATAAACTAATAAAAACAAACCTTGATTTAGCAAAATTTCCGCAAACAAACACAAATTAAAAAAGACGAACCTTTTGGCTTTTAGTCTCGCTGAATATTTTTAAAATTGTGTCATAACTAACATCCGCTTTTATTTCAACTTTAATGAACAAAAAAAAGATAAAACAGATAGTCTTTCTTGGCTTATCGTGCTTCTTAAGTAGATCTTAATCAGTTTTACAATGTTTAATTTTTTAGTATATTTTTGCGAGGCCCCTTCAAGCACAAGGCCGTCGGTAGTTGCCAACATCGTCGACGCCTAACGCCCCCACTGAAAATGTAGAACTAGTTTTCAAATATCACATTTCTGAAGGAAATTTATTATGACATAATACTACGTTTCTGTAACTGTGAAACCATTAATATTTTACCTGGTATTTTCGGTAGATAGTATTAGTTTATTTCAAGAAATGAAAACCATTCTTGGAACGTGTTATTCTTTTTGTTTTAGAAGATTTTAAACACTCAACAGAAACCAAGTGCAACTTTTTTCTGAGTTGTGCCGGCGTGGTAACGATCTAATAACGGCGTGGGAACGATCGATTTTTGGATCCAATTACTACTCTATTCATATCTAGACTAGAATCAACAAAAAATTATAGAAAATATTAGGCGACTGTTATTTATGTCTTATATGAAATGACTTCTAAAAAAAAATTTAATCAAGTTATTTTGATTTCTTAATTTGTTCTACGAAAGGTTTTCGAGCTAAAAAAACTTGCTGTGAGGAGACGATAAAATGGTTCGACTTAACAAAGTTCAAGTTATCCGAGATTTGACTTGACCTGAGATTTTCAATAGTTATCAATTAGACAATTTCAAGGCACCAAATAAAATACTTCGAGATAACAAAAATTTAGAGGGAAGGGGGAGGGGGATGCATACCCCTATTCCCCTCCAGCCCCCTGGATCTGTCATTGAGTATAAGTAGCAATATTGTTGTTGTAAAATAATTGAAGAGAATGTGAACTCTTGCCTAAATGTGTAGATGATTTTATGAGCCAGTGTTTTATTTTAGCTCATATATTTAGTTTCAGAGTCCCATTATTTACTTGACAGAATACGTTTTTGATGAAAACAAGTTGACAGAAAATGACCGCAGGTTTTCTATGGACCTTGGGACATATGGAGATATTTAAAAGCAATAATATTCTTTATGTTTTGATTATTAACCTAATCACTGCCATTAGGTTAATTTTAGAGTTGTTAAACATATGGTGGCACCTACAATTTCATATTGCACTCATGATGATTTGAGTGAGTGTCAACAGCAGCTGCGAAGTAGGTTTTTTTCTCCGATAAATTTGCTTCAAGCAAGTTTATCGGAGAAAAAAACAAATAATTAAGTTTAAAGCAAGAATATTAAATTTATTAGAGAAAAATTGTTTTGGTTTGTCAGGGAGTTATATACATGTTATAAATACTCCAAAATTGTAACAGAAGGAGAACAGTATGCAAAGATGTGAAGATTGTCCTCAGTTTTTCCGCAGGTTTTGCATTTCTTGTTTTTAACAATCTGTTGACTTGTTCTTTTAGCAAGCAAGGCTTTAGAAGGTAGAGAATGTTAAATAGGGATTCACCCAATATTTTGATTGTTATTTTGTAGTACTGAGAAAAAAAGTAGAGACATTTTGTTGTCCCAGAAGTTTAGAAAATTGTTTTGCCTTAAAGAATACCAGCTTTGGTTTTGTATTGTAATTTTTATGAGCGAACTTGCCAACCAATACCTTGAAATATTGAAAAATCGTGAGTTTTGTCCTCTTCACATTTTTTCAGTTAAAAGAGTGTCTTGAGGCAAAGTGCTAGGTTTTGCTTTTTTGGAAATAAAATTCCGAGACCCCCACTTTTGAAGGGTAAAAAAGGTGTCTCTCGTTTCACCGGATTAAAATTGATCTTTTGCAAGAGGTTTTCGAAAAGCCATTACAAAAACAGAATTTGCTTCATGTTTTGCCATAGGTTTTTGTTCATAAACTTTAAAATATTGAAAGCTTTAAATACGTTAGTTAATTTTGTCATTTATCCATGTTTGTTTTGTTTATGGTTTAATATTTAAAGATTTACGGAATACTTTATTTAAGTTATATAATCTTACATTTGCAACGTTGGATTGTATACATAGTACCAACTTTAATCCATTTACTTTGAATCAAATTTGGGTTGTAAACATTATATCAATCTTGATTCGAACACATTCAATCAACGTTGTATAATACGCATTGGATCAACATCGGGTTTAGATCGTAAAAACAATCAACTTTTGGGAAGTTTTTACATGCGTTCGACCAATAGAGTTAATCTTTTCATTGATATCATTGCTAAGAACTTGACATTAAATCAACGTTGGATTTGCATTAGAAAAAATAGCTGACGTTTGCGATGGTTTTACATACGTTAGCCTAATGTATATGTGCTAGTTGGGCTGTAACAGATATTGTAAATATTTGTTATAATAGATAAAATAGCCGACGTTTGCAATAATTTTACATACTATAAACTAATGCATATGTGGTAGCTGTGATGTAACAGATAAAAAAAATTTTGTTCCCAAATAATGCTTTTAATACTATAAATTTTTTTGCTCCAAAAAGTATAAATATTTTGAATGTTTTTTTTTCCATAGAAATGATGATTTTTAAATCGTCATTATTTTGAATTTTTAAAGGCGAAAATACCGTTACACTTATTACAAGTTATATTTATACTATTATTATTATTTCTATATATATATATATATATATATATATATATATATATATATATTTATATATATTTATATATATTTAAACAATTTAAAATGTATTCTACAAAAAGAGTGCTCAATGTTCTTAAAAGAACAGAGCAATTACAAATTCAAATATATATATATATATATATATATATATATATATATATATATATATATATATATATATATATATATAAATGGATATTCATGCTTTTTCTATAATTCGAACTTTAGACATACAAAACAAAAATGAACAAAAAGCTTTCACTCTTTAAGTTTTTCTAATTTTCCAATTGTTTTATTTCTATTGGTTCTAATATTTTGTGTAAATATTTTTCTTTTATTAGGTTCTGAAATATTTTACGGAAAACTTGTTTTGCGAACCGAGCCGTGGGTGCCTAAAAGCATTCTTGCCGAACGACATTTTATTTTTGCAACACGCTCATCGACCTATTTGAAAAAAGACGGCGATGTTTTTAAGATTCATAATCCAGGACTTGCTTTGAACTCTGGAATTGATTCTATTTCATTTGAATCGGTTCGCTGGCCAGGATTTTTTCTGAAACACCGTGCAAATGAAAATGATTTCAAATTTCGAATTGAAAAACCAGATTTAAAAAATATTGAAAATTTCAGTAAGTAAAATTTTTTTTAATGTTTGATTATTTATTACAATAAGCATAATTTGTTTATTAATTCATAAAAATAAATATGATTATGTAAAGTAATGAATATAAACATTCAGGTAAATCTAAAACCACACATACACAACACGAGAACGAAATGTTTGTCTCGATGTTTTTAGAGAAAAAAGTTAGGAGATTTTTTATAATAGTATCATTTTTTATTTTTTTTTTTTTAGAAAAAGAAGCTACATTCATTGTGGAAAAGTATAACGGAGTAGAAGGATCTGGATTACTCCGTTTGTTTGAAAAACCTGATTGGTACATATGTGTGCGTAAATATGGGTTTCAAAACTCAGCTTTAAAAGCCATGAAAAAAGATAATAGTAAAAGTTTTGAGAGAAGATGTTCATTTTTCATTGAAAAGTTAGAGCCAGAAATGGTCCAAGATGAGCTTTCTAAAACAATGGAGAAAAATGAAGCAATAAGTGGTATATTATATATGCAGTTACACACACACAGTTGTACACAGAAGCAACAAATGAGCCGATTTGATTAATAAAAATGGTCACAACAATCCAGCGAAAATTTTTAAAAAAAATAAATTTAGTATCGAGAGAAAATCGTATTTATTGATGTTTATAAAATAATAATAATAATGATAAATATATATATATATATATATATATATATATATATATATATATATATATATATATATATATATATATATATATATATATTATCATTATTATTATTATTATTATTATTATTATTATTATTATTATTATTATTATTATTGTTATTATTATTATTATCATTATTATTATTATTTTATAAACATCAATAAATACGATTTTCTCTCAATACTAAATTTATTTTTCAAAAGAAATTTTTGCTAGATTGTTGTGACCTGCATCTTTAGCTTAAAAGTATATGACATAAAATAGAACTACCGTTATTAAAAATAACATATAAACAAAAGCAAACAAAAAACTTTTAAGCTGAAGACGCTGGTCCCAACAATCCAGCGAAAATTTATTTTAAAAAGTAAATTTAATATTGAAAGAAAATCGTATTTATTGATGTTTATAAAATAATAATTTACATACTCTCATACATGATGTCTGCATTCAAAAAAATAATTATTTACACAAATTATTTATTTAAATTTAAGCAGCAAAAAGAAAAACTGTTCAGAAACCTGCAGTGGAAATCCGGCGCCTTTTAGATGATTATGTAAGTAATGGTAGAAACGAACTGGTCAAAGATTATTTGCAGCACACTCTTGTTCAAGAATCAAAACGCGATTATGTTAACAACGTTAGAACGAAAAAGTTCTATCGTCCACTGCGTAATAATCCTGCTCTAACTGCTAAAGGAAAACAATGGTGGGAAGAAAGAAATATTGATGAAGAATCTAAACAATTTCTTGAAACAAATCAAAGAGATTCAGATAACGAGCATGTTGAGAGTATACAAGGTTCTTTAATTGCACCGAACTTACAGGATACCAGTGTCTTTCAAGAAACAGATCATTATAACATTCCTATTCGAAATTTTGATAATATGGAGAGCTTAACTAAAAAAGTAAATTTGCCTGGTAGACTTGATAGCTATGTGTTTAAAAAAATACCTTTCGTAAACGATAAAGAAAATTTAGTAAAAGATAATCAAATAATTCAGAAATACACGCGCCTACAAAAACCGATCCATAATTATCTTCACGGTATGAGAAGAGATGTAGTTCCTGGAACTAAAAACAATCAAGCTAGATTACTATTTCCAAATAAAGTAAACTCTGAAAGAGGCGAAATAGCATCTTTGTATTTGAGTAAAAATAGAGAATACAACCTCAATGATCAATCTGAAAGTATAAATAAACGTGAAAATGTCTACGTAAACAAAGACCATATACCAAGTGTTTATAAATCTGATTACAGTGGTATTTCTATAAAAGGTTCAACCAAAAAAGCAGCCATTAAAGTTAAACCAGAGCATGAACTCAAACAGAGAAAACTAAAGAAACACAAAAATCATTCGCCATCATTCACCAAAACACATTTTGTTAAAAAAGCAACATCGAAAAAGCATTCCATTCCATTGGTCATTTACGATGACGACGTTATAACCATTGATAAACCTTCTTTAAAAGACAAAGTAGACGTTGTTGACTACGATGAAGTGTTAAAAACACCAAAGCTTCATGTAAAACATGTGTACGCAGATAGTAATGGTCACGTGGAAGGTTATTCGCCTGATTCTTTGGTACGTAAATTAACCTCACCGTCCAACAGCTTATATGAGCTGAAAAAACTCGGCAAACATGTTAAGCTGGGTCAAAAATGTAAAAGATCTGGTACAGCAATAATAGATGTGGCAGAGTGTGATGATGACGACCCTTATTCTCAAATAGGAAATGAAACAATTCACTTATTAGGTGGAGAAGAAGAAGGAGCAGCTGAAAACTTGACTGCTTTTATCGAGCATGATGAAGATGACAGAGATCAAAAACCTCAAAGTGAAGATCCGATTGATAGTATTACCACCGAGACAGCTGATGATGACAAAGAGAGTGAAACAGAAGAAATATACGGAAGACACCACCATCATTCTAAAAATAACTTAGTAGAAAACGAGGAAGAAGATGATGCTGAAAACGAGGAGTCTGATGATGAAGAAAAAGATCATGACCATGAGCATTTACATAATCATTTACACCATCATCACCATCATCATCGTCATCATAACAACAATGACAGTACCCATGAAGAAGAAAGCGAAGAAGAAGAAGAGGAAGAAGGAGAAGGAAAAGAAGAAGATCATGACGACCACAGTATTGAAGAAGATCATGAGACCGTCACTCATCGTAATGCTGAAGACGAAAACAACGAATACGGACAGAAAATGTATCACGACGAAGAACATGAATGGGTTGATGAAAAAGGAAATACTCATTTTTATACGTATGATGCTTGGCAGCTAAAACTGCAAGAAGATAAAATGAATGCTCAAAACAAAACTAACTCCATAGTTTCTGCATCATTTAATCCAGTGAGTTCCGCAGCATTTAATGCATCAGATAATGCAAATTCCTCAATATTGGATAAAACAACTAAACTTGATCTTAAAAATAACAACACTGATTTAAAAAGCATAACACTCCTCAATTCTTCAACTATCAACAATACAAATAGCAAACTTACTAACACTTCCAACGAAAATGTAAATGAAAGCACTGTTAATATGCTTGAAAGCTCAAGTTTAACAAAATTAATTTCAGAGGATAAAAAAAATAATAACAACTTCACTATAGGTAATACACTAAAACCTAAAGTTATTGTTAAAAGTAACTCATCAAATAAAAATGAATCAATAAGTAATAATAACCTTAAAATAACAGATGAGACTGTTCAAAATGTGTCAAATACATCAAAACCTGACCAAATAATAAAATATGTCGATGAGAAGCTTCCAAGCAATTTTCAAGATTCTTATTCTTCTCATAATGTCCCGACGGAGTCGTTAAAACAAAATAACAAAACAGACAAGATGACGATCGAAGAAAAAACCTTCTCAAACTATACTGATCTGAGTCAAGTAAACCGAACCGACGATTTAAAAGCAAACATGACAAAAGATTCTATCAAATTAAAAAACCAAGAAACTAGTGAGGTTAAAACAAATAATCTATCTGAGATAAAAAACAAAAAAGTTGTTGAAAAGAACTCGAAAACTGAAAATAATCAAAATGCTCAGTCAAGTTATAAGGATAAATCGGATTATAGCCAGCATATGCACGAATGGAAAGACGAAAATGGAGATATGCATTATTATACAGAGGAGGCTTGGAAAATGAAATTAGCAGATGACATGAAAAAATCTGTCAAAACCAATGACAAAAATTCGTTAAAAAACTCATCTCAAGATGAAGCGCCTAAATTTAACAAAGTTCAATCAGACATAGACAACATAACCCTCCAATCAAACAAATTCGCCCAAATTCTCCATTCTGATATCATCCCTTATGAAAACAAACAAATACCTTTAAATTCCTCTGAAGCTTTAGTTAAAAACATAATCATGAATTTTATTTTAAAAAAACCAATGTTGAAAAAAAAAGGTGAACAATTGTCAACACTGTTAGCTGAAGGTTTGAGCAAACAGCCACTGTTTAATCGCTCTTCTTTGGATACTCAAGAACGAATGTTAAAGCGTTTGAAAAATTTAACGACAACAGAGCTAAGTTTACTTTACCTCAAAAAGCTGAAATCAAAAGGAACACTGGAACCAAAACTCTCAGAACAAAATGATCTTAAACCAGGAGAGGTTATTCAAGGAATTGTTAATGAACTCACAAAAAAGCAAACATACCCTATAACCGAAAGTTTTTCGAATAAAAATGAAGTTCAAAACGGATTTTTTAAATTAGGAAACAGAGAAGAAACTATTAAATGGAGCACTAAAGTACATTCTAAAAGTGGAATGAAAACAACTGTTACCAAATCAAACCATACAAAAATCTTGAATAAGTTTCGCATTAAGTCTGCTAACCACCCGGTAACCGGCGCTAACCATAAAAAGGAAAAAATGGTGATAAACAAGAACTTTGAATCAAATAATAAAAAAAAGTCAAACACAAGTCTATCAAAAAAGCATCTTTTAAAAAGTTCCAATTTTGAATCAAATGAAAAAAACTCTTTTAACGTTGTTAGTAAGTTTATTGAACAAAGTATGACTGATGTAGATCCGTCAATTTCGGAAGAGCATAAAATTGCAGACCAGATAGATAAATCTTCAAAAGAAATAAGCATAGAAAAAGCAAATGAAAATAGTTTTGAAGAAAATGTTAAGGAAAATATAAACCGTGAACTAAACAACACCAATGTTAATCAAACTCTACATAACTCAGACGAAAACAATTACATGACAGAAAGCGGAGAACCGGTGGAAACAAATACCGGAACAATTTCAAAAGAATACAAGACTGAATATGCAACTCGTGATGAGAGCGCTGTCTTAAAAGATAACACAATTCAATTTAATAACAACTCCATAGTTAAACATCAATGGAACCAACCTCAAGAGCAGATGCAACAGCAATCATCACAACAACAACAGCAAAATATTAATCAAGCTCAAATAAATCTTGCCCCAGCCTTGAAACCTGAAACTTTGAAAGACATTCATATTTTTAAAGCAGGCAAACCTGAACCTCATTTGGAAGGATTAAAACCTAAAGAAAACCAAAAAAAATTGGAGTACAAAGCAAAGAAAAAAATTAAAAAAATCAAGCAGAATAAGTTTTTACCAACCCCTTCAAACTCAGTTAATCCAATCTGGTCAGTAAATTCTTTTGACAATTCAAACAATAAAAGTACAAATGAAAACTTTCCACAAAGTGTGAAACATGAGTTAAATGAAATAGTTTACAATAACAAATCGAATAAAATTAACAAATATTCTAATAAATTGTCTCGTACAACTTCTTTACCAGTCAGTTCAGATTCCGTTAATATAAAAGAAACCTTGAACCTTGAGTCAAGTGATCCAGATAAATTATTTAAACAGCTTGAAAAAAGCACACAGATGCTAAAAGACCGTCTTCATGTAACTAACGAAACAATAAAAACTAACTTTTCAGAAGCTCCGAGTAGCCAGCTAAAAGAAAATGTTTCGGAAAAACCAAATGATCATACAAAATCAGAAAATGAAGAAGCGGACGTTTTAAGCGAAAGTGCGGCACTTGTGAAATTAGCCGGTTTAGATGACTTTGATGAAATTTCGGGTATTGAAGAAAGCCAAGCCAGTTCTATTAGCGGAACAAGTAACGATGATGATAACTTGCTTTCTGAAGGTTCAGGAAAAAAATTATTGTCAGAACTAACGGATAGCAAAATTAAAGCAAATATAAACCTATTATCGACTGAAAATATTGAAAACCAAAATATTCAAAATCAAGATAGCTCATTAATTTTGACCCCAAAATTGAAAAACAAATCAAATGAAAATAAGGCAAATCTTGACAAATTGGCTCGTTTTGCCTCAGATATTTTAAAAGTACATCAGAATAAAGAGTTAACTGATGATAAAAATAGCGAGATAAATAAGTCATCACTTACAGATTTACTATCTTCTGTTCTAAATTCTAGTGAAAAAGATAATTCTTCACTTGTTGCACAATCGAATGAAAAAAATAAAGATAATGATCTATCTTTAAATTTTTCAAAACCAAAACTCAAATTCAATGGTCAAAGCTCTGAAAAAATATTGCTCGGACCTATTCTGCAAGAGGCTAAAATAAAACACTTAAGTATAAAAAAAGAAAATCCTAAAAAAGAAAATTCTCAAAGCAACGAATCTCTTTCAATTGATGATGACGATACAAAAGACATGAGTAGTATATCGCAAGCTCTAGATGAAGTAATGGTAAAAGACGGAGAAAATAGCATGAAAACATTAGATTCAATTGATAAAAGCGCGCAGGATATACTAAGTGAAGGGAGCGGAGACTTTAAAACTTTAAATTTGAATTATGATAAGACAAGTAACGACGCCAGCCTACAAGAAAATGACAAAATAAAACATGAAGAAAATTCATTACACATGAAAACTATGCTACCAAGTCCAATAACAACACCACAAAGGCAAACAGATAAAGAATCTATAGGATTCTCAGTTCATAAAAACCTTACAAGGAACGGGAAAGAAAAGAAAGTAAAGGAAGAAGCGGCACGAGATGATCTTATTCACGAATTTCGACAACTTTTAAATCTTGCAGAACAAAAAAATTCCGAACTTTTGCCGACAGATTCAAAAGATAAAAGTTCTTCATCTTTAAACAACCTAATACAAAGTACCAATGCGGAACAAGAAGAAACCAATGAGAATAAAATTGATCCAAACGCTAAGTTCACAGAAACAAATATAGGAAACACAGGGGATGAAGGAGATGAGCGCGAAGGAGATCTTAAATCTTTGCACAATAAAGGTAATTTAGAAGAAATGGAAGACAACGATTCATTCCATCAACATAGAATTGTAACAGTAAAAGATGAAGAGGAAAAGGAAAGAATGGTGAACGGACTTGTAACTGAGAACGGTAAGAAGCTATGTTGCTAGTATAATCGTATATATATGTATATATATATATATATATATATATATATATATATATATATATATATATATATATATATATATATATATATATATATATACATATATTATAGTTTTTTATAGTTATGTTATAATTAATTATACTAATTATTTAACATGATATGTGATTTGTATATAACATAAATATTAAAAGACCGCTGCGTCTCAATTCAATTTGAAAATGAACTTGGAAATCGCTATAAGTTGGTATCGTCTATTAACAACCATGGTTACACACCACGTGGAAAAATATTCACACTTAAACAAGTATTCAAAGACCCTCGAGCGCATCGTTACGTTTCGTTTCACGCAACCGACGAATCAGATGCAAATCGTATTGTGTTGTTGAACGGCGCTAGAGAACTTGTTGCAGTGCCTGTATCTTGCCGCTATAAGCCTCGAATTATCCATGTCACGAGTCATCAATCTGCTAAATTGACAAATTTGTTTAAAAAAAATGGCGTTTCAAAAAAAAGGACTAAATGTAAGTGGATAAGGTGCTTCTAAATAAAAAAATTGAGTTTTTCTTTTTTTTTTCTTTTTTTTTTATTACTCGTTTTATTTTTTTCACGTAGTTATTTTTTTCATACATTTTTATTAGCTTTGAATTCGCCGTTTGATAAAGAAAATGAAGTTGCAATGTGTTCCTCTCGATGTACCGAGTATTGTCTTAGCTCTTGTCCAAATTACTGTTGCTCTGCGCCAGTTATCAGTAAAGATCAGCAACAATTATTTCCTGGACAAAAACAAAATTCAAACCCTTTTGATGAAGAAATGAATGTTTTATCTGCAGGTGAAGAAATCTCCGATAACGCAGGAGGAATGGAAACAGAGGATTTAGATCGTTCATATTCACAAGATAGCAATTCTGATAGTCAACAAGATCGCTGGTGGTGGTAATAAATTGCGTAAGTAAGTAAATACGTTTACAGATTGCCAACAACTTGCGTTATCTGTGGTATTGAAAGTAGTAAACGCATCATATAAAGTTTATAAAACAGCTAGAATTAATCTCAATCTACTGTCCAATCACAGTTCTAGATCAAATCATTAACAATAAAAATAAATGTTTTTAGGAATCAATAAAATGGTTGATAAAGAGGATATACAATTGTTTCTACGAATTTTAATACTAAAATGTCATAACAAATGTTATAAAAACTCTTTTATTTATTTATAATTATTATTTTTTGTAAAATATTTTGTTTAATAAAATTATTTGCATAAAGTCGTAATAAAACATAGACCATATTAATAAAGATTTTCTGGTTTTGCAATAAAAGCGTGGGTAAGAATTGGAAAACCAGTCGCAAGCCTTATAATTTAAATGTAATACATATTAAAAAACATTTAGCACATGGTTTCATTTGATTGGTTGTATAATTTTATTATGTTTTGATTCGGCTAGAAAAATTCAGAAAATTTGTTTAAATTCAGATTCAGTATTTTTATATTTAATTTTCAAGAAAATTAGTAATTTTTAGTAATTTATTATATACAAATTAATTTATTTTAAGATTTATAGTATAAGGTAACTTTATTGTATAAATAGGGGCTACAATATGAAAGCGAGAATTGTGATTGATTTGTTTTTTTAACAAAATCTTCTCTCTCTTGTGTTTATTTATAAGCATTATTTTTAAAAAAGTTAGAAACAAAATGAGATTGTACCTAACCTAGTTTGCATTTTAACATAAACATTTTGTAATTATTCACCATTTTCATTACTTTAATTAGGAGTTCAGACTGTGTAAATTTATCTTTATGGTAAATTAATCTCGAAGAGTGTTTTTGATTAGTCTTTATTCGCCGTATTCGCGTATTCGCCGTTGATATTTTCGTGTATTTTTATTATTATACTCTTTTTGTTACTATTTTATTATTGTATTTTTATTACTATATTCTATTTTTATTGCCTATGTTTTTGAATATTAAATTATTTTGCCGTAAAATATTTTTGGCGTTTTAAAGAGGATCTAAGTTTTTTGATATTGTTGAATGAATGTTAGCCTTCTAAGAATTCTTGAAATTCCTAAAGTTTTATGAACTTATTGAACAATTATACGTTCTATTTTTAACAAAGGAATTGTTGGCTTCTTTTCATACTTCTACATATTTCAATGAAAAATAAAGTTTACTTTGTTTTTTCTCTAAATAACTACATCCTGTTTGTTTTAAACCCAGGACTGGCCCTAGAATAATTGGCACCCAAGGCAAACCTGTCGGTCTGATCTCCCTTTTCCTTCCAACAACTTTCACAAAAGAATGCAAAAGTTATGTTTTTACATTATATATTTACATTCAGTTGCAATTCTAGGAATAAAATGAGGGTTGGGGGGGGGGGGAAATAAAACAAAAAACAAACCTAAAACAAAACAAAAAAACAAAAAAAAAGGTCCTCAAGTCCACTAAAATTCACCTGACTGAAATGTGTCATACCCAACTGGCCAACTATAGTCCTCAAAAAAACAATTATAACCATCTTCTTCTTTATCTATAATCATCTTCGACTATAATCATCTCCTTTGGGTGGACGGGGGTGGGGGGCATGTATCATAGAGAAAACCAAACAATGAACTTTGTTGATCAAACAATGAACAATGCTGTTTGCATTAAAGTGAAACGATTTTATAGCTTTGTTAAAAATAGAAAATTAAACATTTACTTTAAAAATTTTCTTTTGGATCTTAAATGGGTTTTTCATCTCCATCATATGTAAATTGTTTTTTCTTCCTTCTGATACAGGTTGATTCGGGCTCGAAAAGGATTGGTATCTCTATACTGACTGCAATTTCAAATGCATCTACTAGTGTTTTCTTAAACTTTCATTTCTGCGATTTAAGAGAAACTTCTTTACTTTTTCAAGATAATTTATGGCACCATACATATCTAATTCTTTTGCCTGAAGTTGCTTTCTAGTCATCTTGATCTCAAACAACACGTTATACCACATAACCAGAGAAGTCAAACTTAAAACTAGAAATGCCGTTTGCAATAAACTGTGTATCTACCTGTGTTGAATTATTAGTTACTTCTTTTAAATTTGTGTTGTCCGCTCTCTCTTGTGTTTTGTTCTCTCCCAGAGTATCGTAGATCTCACCAAGTTGATAACAGAGAGCTTTTAAAGCATCAATTCAACTTTTCCATCTGGTTTCACTCAGTGGTTTAACAGTTAAATTAGTCACATGTCGATTTAAAACTTCCCAGAGAAGAGTTGAAGCAGAAAAGAATACGTATACATGTTGCACCAGATCAAAGAAAGCTACTCGTGTACCACACCAGCACCAGTTGTCTCCTTTAGAGGCAAAATCATAGAAATCTTTCTTTATAAATGCTATTGCTCATGGCTGATGACACGGGTGTCAGAGTGGATGGGCACAATTATCTATTTCTAAAAAAAGTCCTTTATATATAGAATTTTTTCCAAAAAAAAAGGTACTTTAGAAAAAAAGTGTTGGGGGAAGGATACGTGTCCCTGGCTCCCCGGCGTTGTCAGCCCTCTTTCTGCATTGTCATTATCTGGATTTGAAATTATATCCACAAAGTAAATGATAATCGTAATTCACTATCGGCTATTTTAAGATTTGCTGCCAATACTGTTCTTCTTTTTAAACGAGACGCAAATGATCGACAACTGTTTTATTGCGTTGCACTCGAAGCTCAAACTCTTTCCATGACTAAAAATTTACTAGATTTTTGCTGGTTTTCTCATGCCCTGACAGAATTATGGACATGTTTTTCCAATCATGTGAACCATTAGAAGAAAAGGATGACTCTACAATTGTGCTTCTGGTAAGCAGTTTGCAACAGAAGAAATACATCGGCTCAATACTTACAAAATACTGTAGTCAATGTCGGGGAATTTCATTTCCATTGACAAGCCAGCGGTTGTAATGGTTTTTTGAAAATTTTCTTTGCATACTATCTTTGGAAAAGTCAAACTGATCGACTTGTTTTGCTCTATGTTTTATCAAAATTTGTTGCATTTCATCATTCAGCCGATGAGATGACACTCTGATAGTGTCATCTCATCGGCTTTCCTGTCTGGTTCAACTTGATTGTGTAACTATCTGCACCATTTTCTTTATCTGCGGTGTACATAGATACTTTAACAACGAACCTGTTTTGTTACGTACTCTTCATTTGCATCCCTTCGTTGGTAATATTGCACACCACACAATAGACAATATTTTTCTCCACACAATACACATTATTTTTCTCTTTGTCATCGTAGATTAAAATATTACTTATCATAAAAATAATAAGTAAAAAAAAGATCACCTTGTGTGCCTTTAAAGAACTTTAAATTAAAATTTTATTTTAACTTTTTTATAAATGTTACATTTTAAAACTTTTAAAGCTCCTTAAGTATAAATAATTATCTCTATTTACATAATACTATATTAATATAAAAACACAATATAAATTTATTATTATGCTATTTCGTAATTTACTATTATGCTACATCGTAATTGCTATCTTTAAGAATATTTAATTAAAATTAATTTCTTACTATTTCTAAATTAACATGCCAGTAAAAACAATTTTCACTATAAAGTTGGTTAAACGTATTAAACTTTGGGATAATAAGTAATGATAACTTTGTAAAAGTATAAAAATTTGCATTATAATTTGAAGTTTATCAGAGACTTCTAAAAGATCATTTATAAGGATTAAGAACAAAAGAAGAATTCAATTTTAAGGCATATTATTGCGAGTAATTTTAAGGAGTAACTGTAATAACTTACTTACAATAACGAAAAAATTAAAAATGTGGAGGGTTCTACTTCATTTTAAAATGAAAATGATTAAATTTTGACTAAATAAAATGACTAAAAAAAAGGGAAAGTAAGTATTTAAAAAAAATTTTTTTTTTGTAAACTTTTTAATAGACTCGCTATTGATTATGTTGAACTAAAGAAAACTTTATATTTAGGTAAAAAACAAAATAAATGACCACAAAAAGTAAGTTTTTGTGAAAACTGTTTAGTAAAAGCTGTTAAGCAATTTTTCTTATTTTAGACAGAGAATTTAACCTTAGTTGTTTAACGGTTTTACTTGTTTTAAAATAAAGCGAACTAAATGAGGATTCCAAATCTGCAATAAAAAAAGAACAAAAAACAACTTGCTTTGATGATAGACTTTTTTTAAAAGAAAAATTTATCAAAATGCAACTAACGAGGAAAACAATAATTGATCCTCCGCGTTAATTCAAAAAAATAATTCAAAAAAAGATTTATTTGAAGTTTTTCATAACTTATATAAATATATAAGTTATAAGTATGCTCAATTTTGAAACTTACAAAAAAAAAAAAAAAAAATAGCGAATCAAGTATTAACTAAAAAGGTTAGAGATTAAAAAATTGTTTTAAAATAATGAGTTTGAAAAACGAAATCGGTATTACAAATAACCGATATTACTAATATTATTAATAATAACAAAAAGTGTTGGGTGAACGCAAACATATTTTCAAAATAACAAAAAATGTTCGTGAACGCAAACATATTTTCAAAATAAACTAGACATATAAGCAAAAACTGATTGAACTAGTTTCTTATCGATTAATATGAACTGATATCATTAACTAATGAAATTTTTGCAGTAATTTAATTTAGCTTTACAGATTATTTTGTTTAACGCCTTTTGTAACTTTTTTAAATAAAATCCGAATAGCAGTTCTAATGTTGTTGCAATCTGAGTCTCGTATTAAAGAAGCTTTTGTACATTTGGAGTTATTATGCACCAGAAATACTTATCAAATTTGCAGTTTCATTGAAGAACAATTTGAATTTTACTCTTTCAATTTCGAAACCCGAACAAACTGCTTTTAGGATATTCCGTATAACCTCAACTTCAATTTCAGTATTTTCAGAAAATATCTAACCATCTCTAAAAGCCCTTTCTAGAGTAGTATTTCATTTAAATTTAAAAATCTAATTTTAAAAATATCAACGAGTATACTAGGTTTTTTCCTGTATGTGGCATAGATAATCGTTTAGCCTAAATTTAATATGTGCTCAAATATTTTTATCTATTTTTGTGCCTTTTCATCGCACTTCCTTTTTCGCACAGCTTCAAAGTTATCTATTTAAGATAATTTTTGCTCCACAAGTATTGCAGGATAGAAACCTACAGGATTAAGTAGAAGCATTGTTGATTAAGATATTTACAAACTCTCCGTCAAACATTGTAATTAATCTTGTACGATTATTCTTCTTGTACGATTATTCTTTTGAATTCGTGTCAAA